CTTTAATGAAATTGTATTGAGACATTTAATATCCATAATCTTTAGTTGTGTCTCCATTACTTTGGAGTCTACTTATAGATTAAGTAGTTGAACATTTTTGTGTTCAAAATAGAGAACTATAACTTTTCATATTTAAATCCAGGGCGTTATGAGAATAATTAGGACCTCATTATCTCAATACGCTTTCTAACAAAGAATTATTTCATGTCCTACATGCTTTACACTTGGTTGATTAACACTATCATACCAAATACCTGTCTCTTTGTCAAATATTAAATTTATACATGGATTACTTGTATTCATTTAGGCCAATATTCTCATTGCTTTCATATTGCAATAGAGTATGGTTCGATGTCATCGTGCAGTTCGTGCTCTATGCTCCTTTGAGCAACTGTATAAATATATCGTCAGTATAAGTGTAAGGTCTATCATTCGACTCATACACACTCTCATTAACATTGAGATTTTAATTCCCTGAAATCATTTAAACTTCGGGGCGTCCCCCATTATTGATTCATGGACATGTTTAGTCAGAGATAATCTCATGAGAGGAAATCATATGATGACGAATATATTGGTTTGTGCCTTATCTACCCTCTTCTACTTGAGGTGGATAATTGATCCAACCATGTGGCTTCACTCTATTCCTTTAGAGAGCCACGGCCTCAACCACAACCCCACTGCTTGTGATTGCAATGCTTCTTCCCTAAGCATTGTGTCTTTAATTTAAATTCAAGCCTTATAAATATGTTTGCAGCTAGTGTGTATAATCTGATCACTTAAACCATTTACGATAATTGATAAACATTTTAACTTCAATGTTACATTTTGAAGTGATATTCCGCAAAGCGGTGCACACATTATCTGTTTAGGCTAATAGTGGGTTATTGTTGGAGATTCGTATCCAACACAAAATCATTTGTTTTTTAAGACCGATTATAGTGCGCTGTGGGAGGCGCATTAGGCACAATTAGTTAACAACCATATATGCATAAGTTAAAAATCTCAGGCTAAGATCTAGTCATCAACTAGTATACACAAAAGTGGTTGTCTACTATCGGTCTAAAAAAATGTGTAAGAGTGCTTGCAATATTGCATAATCCCATGAAACAGAATTATATATACGTGGGCGCATAGTAGATATAATATTCACTATCTATATTCTTTTAGATGTGAGTTTTAATGATATCTTATTTTCACATGGAATGCGAGATGTTTTTTCATTGATCTCGAAAAATATGCAAAATCATCAAGTACTTTTGATGAGAATTGTCTAGCAGTAACAAGTCATATAGACTTGATTGGTCGGGTGGTGGGCCCTTAAATAAATAAATTTTGCTAGAAGTTTTGCAAATGCAACAATTTTATGTAACCGAAAAATAGATAGCATGAGTAAATTTCTACCAAACCATAATTACTTAAATGACCCGCATTTTGGTAGATGAGTCCTCACATGTTACATTGTATTGAAAATGAGATATCTGCATTTTTATATCTTTAGCATAGACAAATCTCGATTCTATTATTGCTAAGAAGTAAACTTTAAGAAATAATTGACATGTCTACTACTGTATTTCTAAGGCCTCAGGGAAAGTAAATATTTCTTCTTGTACTTTAGAAGATGAATAATGTTGTGCTATTTAGCAATGATGAGGCCAACAACTTACATTGTGTTGGATTTCATTTTATCCTTTACTCCAATGAATAATGATTTGAATCGGTTAATTTAAAGTTTGTATGAGTCAATGCACATTTTGACTCATAACCTTCTTAAAATGCATTTTCTTTTTGCATTTATTACATGTAGTATAAGAATTTCTATCTCATTTTTATAACGAGTTTCTATGTGAAAACCCGTTGAAAGTAGCTTGGTGGACAATGATGTCCTCGCAATGTGAGGGTTCGGGGAATCCCCACAAAAAATGTATAAGGAGCAACTCTTGTTACTTTGATAAGAGGTCGCTCACAACACATGGTGGGCCCATGACATCGTTCCGTTCTATGTGAAAACCTTTGTGATGAACAAATTTAGAACGTAGTAAACTTTGCTAACTTCTAGATGTATTTAGAGGTTAGGCGTACAATTCTATTCATTTGGATATGAAAGATTTAGGCAGCACATCACCCTTAATCAATTACAAACGAGAATAAGGAATTACTTTAATAAATAAAATATTTGTTCCTTAATTGATTGTGTATATATCATCACAATGGGTTAAGAACACTTGTTATAAGTTTCAATAATTTGCAAATGTCACTCGTCTACTTCAGAGTGCTATGATATCAAACATAATGAGGTACATATCATTCTACTATTTTAAGGATATATTCCTTTGTATCCCTTTTTATTATATGTATCTACTATTTTTGTTATGAACAAAATTCATAGATATGCATTTAATGAATCCAAATGGATAAATATCTCAAATATAATTTCAGATAGAACAATGAGATGTTAAATTAATTAAAAATATCAAACGAATATAATTTATACCAAACTTTAAGACTTGAATAAAAGTCTAATTAGAAGTAGTAATGTTCATATTTATAAACCTCGTGAAAGAGTAAAATAAAAAATGGATAAACCCAACAATTAGAGAATGTTCTTATTCTCAAAATAGTAGACAATCATGAAACTTAATTTATATTCTCATGTAGTGAATCTCTTGTTCTTTAGAGATTCTACGAAGATAAAAACTAAAAGTATATTTTCAAGTTATATATATCCTGACGAGATAATCACATTTAATCCTCTTATATTAAGGAATTTACTTTAAAATTTATATTTTCAATTTTTTTATTTGGAAATTTCTTTATCCAAATAACTCTTGGGATGTTTCTTTATCCCAAAAAAAATATATTGTAATTGTATTTCAAAAAAAAAAAGACACGATAACAATAAACATCATTCACTAGTGCAAGCTAAAAGCTAGTTAGTTACATAATTATTTAATATATACCGGTGCATTAGTATATGTCTAGAGAAGTATGTGTAAAAATGGTTAATTTTTTTCTATCAAATTAAATAAGCTTTTGTGATTTGCTTTTCACAAAGTGTGCCGGAGTAGCATTGAATTCTAAAATAAGCGTTGAAGATACTCAAGTTCATTTGAGTGCATAATGTCAAACTCCGGTCAAATTGATTGGTCAATTAAATTTGTAGAGCCTTGTATGGAAAATCTTTATCACACAAATAATTAATATAGAAAACTGAATAATAGTACTCAAATCCGTCTGAGACCAAAATGCCAATACAAGTTGAGATGGTCAACCATCTTAAAAAAAATTACATGATCATGAGTACATTCATGAACTTGTGTAGTTCATATGATATAAAACAGAAACTTGTGTATAAACAAAATCGATTCTTTGTGTGAAAATTCTTTATCACAAAAAAATAATCACGAGGGTATGTCTCTTTGTAGACAATATTTTACAATGCATCAAAGCGGGGAGATATATATTCACCTCCTTAAAAAAATCATAGAGATTTTTATAGGATGTTATATGGTATTTTTAATATAGAAAGTATTAATATTGGTCTAATGAACGGATTAGGCATAAAATATAGTAATCTTACATGATTATGGTTCCAACTATATGTAAGTGACATATAGCATTACGGAAAAATATAATCACATAATATGTATAAAATAATTAAAAAAGTGCATAATATAATTTTAATTCCAACTATATGTATCTAACATATAGCTTTACGGAAAGTATAATCATATAATCATATAAAATACATGAAAATAAGATTAATCGTGTGATCTTTGATTTCAACTATATGTATATGGCATATAGTTTTACAAAAAAGTATGATCACATAGATGTATAAAAACTAAGAGGGATGCATAATGTGGTATTGATTCCAACTATATGATTATAACATATAGCATTACGGAATTATAATAAAAAATTGCATCTATCTCTCAAAAAAATGGATGAGGCATATCATCAAACACTTGTTGTGCAAGAAATGGATCTAAAAAAATGACAACTTAATCTCAAACAAAATCAATAACGTTCATCACAATGGTAAACATGATGCAATAAATCATATAGATAAGATTCTCCAATAATTTTTGAGTAAAAAAATACCTCAACAGAGATCCGGGAATTGGTGAGTCGCGGGCTAGGAAGGGGGGAGGCCGGGCGACAGTCGGTGCGTTGGGAGGCGGCCAAGCGCGGCTGGACTGCTGGAGGTGCGGTTGCGGATTGAGTATAGGGAGAACGGGAGAAAAAAAATAGGTTTAGGGCTACGTGCTGATAACGTGTTGTAGGGAGAATTGGGTGTATAGTTTCATTATCAAAGCCCCTATAAATAGGGAGATATTAGGGTTTACAGAGATGGGCCAATGGGCCCATATAATACATAGTTTACATAGAATGATCCTAATACATATTCTATATACACGATAGCACACTACACAGAGTTTCCTTCAACATGGTGCGATTTTTTAAAAAATAGAGTTATTCGGTTGATAACGAATTGATAAAGTAAGAATAATGTAAAAATGAATTAGAGCCAAACAAATAGTATCAAATATGGTGTGTGACAAATTTAATGGGACATGCGGAAAAGGTAAATGAGACAATTATAGTGGGACGGAAGGAGTAATTAACTTTTCTTTTTTAACCTTTTGAAATACTTCATCCGGTCCTTAATTAACTTTACACTTTCCTTTTCGGATCGTCCCATATTAAACTTTACACTTCCTTATTTGCCTTATTTGACAAACAAATCTACACCAAACAATGCAAAACAGTGTTAAACAGTGCCAAACAGTGTATTCTACAGTAAAGTCAAATTTATTTCCTTAATACGGAGTATGTGTGAAGTCAAAGTGTAAAGTTTAATAAGGATCGGAGGAATTAGGAAAATATTAAAACATGAAGGAAAAATAAAATACTCGTATAATCCGTATTATTTAATTATTGTGTTTCAAATATGAATAAAAAAAATTATTGTGTTTGAAATTGAGCCATCACATCATGTTTCCATCTGAGTATATATACTCAGCCGACTCCATGTAAGTGAAGAAAGAGATTTCGTCCCATTCAGAATTTAGTTAGTTCAAAATTTCGAGTTTATCTGACCTTAAATTAGTTCCGCTTTGCTTTAATTTATTTTCCTCTGCACTGTCCACCTCTCTTCCCATTCCTCTCAAGCTCCTAAAACCAGACCACTTTGGTCGAATTATTTATAACCAGGAGCTTAGTAATGGCTAATCGAAACCGCCGCTCACTCAGGCTCACTGTGCTGGGCTCAATAGCTCTGCTCTTGCTAATTGTTGGGCCTGAATTGATGGGCTCCTCTCGACTGCCGACCACTCTAGTCGCCCCAGCCCAGTCGGGCGTGTGCGCCTCTGTCGTTTCACCGTACGGTTACGAATGCCAGGAGTACGAGGTACGACGTAATTAAGGAACAAGAAGAAGAATTAATAATATTTCTTCGTTGATTCCCAGTAAAGTAAATTCTGATCTAATATTAATTTGATTGTTGAGAATTATTGATTATAATATATATATATATATATATATATATATATATATATATACTGGTGGGCAGGCGACGACTAAAGATGGGTACATTTTGAGCGTCCAACGGATTCCGGCAGGCCGAGACGGAAAAAGTGGCGACGGCGGTGGCGGGCCGGTCTTGTTACAACACGGCGTTCTTGTGGTAAAATAAAATCGTTTTAAGCTTCTATTATTGTCATATTATTGGTCTGATTTCTGAACATAGTTAGCTGCTACCGGATATTTTACGGAAAACCATGTTCTTCGACAACCGTGAATAAACAATAATTGTTGTCGCCAGCATCTTAGATTAATGTAAGAAAGAATTACGACAGGGATTATGCGCTCACGCACGCCGCCCAATATTCCCATTAGTCTACTTTGAATCGATAACAAAATCCTTTCCCACACTATTTTGGCTTATTCCGTTATCTTTATTACTTTTTCTTTTTATTAAAGAATTGAATTAATTCTCTTTTAGCTTTACAAATTTGAATCACATCGTTTTACTTTATTATTTCTTGTCTCGGTCAAATTTGACCAAGTTTTAAGATAAGAAGAAATAAGGATGTTTTTACTTGAACCGTAATTTACTGGTCTGGACTGAACTGGTCTGGTCTGGTCTGGTCTCTTTATATTTTTATAACTATTCAAGTCTGTTCGGAGACGAATTACAGTCCAAGTAAAAACATCCTAAATCTTCCATGCCATCCCAATTTATAGGTGTAGTGGTCCATGATTGAATAGATAAAGTTAACACTCCTTTCTAATATTTGAATATCATTAAAACTTGGGAAAGTTCCCAAAATAGGACTAAAACACTTTCAAATTTTCAAAATAGGACTGTCATGTTTTATAGTCCCAAAATAGGACTAATTATTGTCATGTTTAGAAAATACAGCTATGTTTGAAGTCTGATACTGCCAAAACATGACAGTAATTAATCCTATTTTGGGAATAAAAACATGTCAGTCCTATTTTGGAATTTTCAAACTGTTTTAATCCTATTTCGGGTAATATCTCTTGAAACTTACGTACATACTTATAAACTATAGGGGTTTTCCCTAAATATTAAATTGAAATCAATTTAAAAAAATGTGATTACTTTTAAATATTGACAAAAATGTCATTAATAAGGTCATATATTTGAATAAATGTCGCTGCAAATTTGTGGTGTCATTTTGATTTTTCCATGTCACCAAGAGATTTCACTATCGGATTTTCATGCACTTAGGACGTGAAACGTGTCACTGTGACCGTCAGATAATTTTTCATGGAAAAAGTGACTTCCACGGCTGGCTAGTGACCATCCACCGCCGCCGCCCGCCAGCATTCCCATCCCACCGCCACTGTTGTCTCCCTTAGACCGCCCTGCCCCTGCCCCTCCCCATGCCACAGCACCCCCACCCCACGTTTCTACAATCCCAACCTCACTACCTTAATATGTCTCCGTCAAAATCCCCGACCAGCCCCTGCCCTTGCCACCACCGCCCAACCCTAGCTAGCTCTATGGCAAACCTCGACCAACCATGGTCGCCCCTACTGCCCCTAGCCTCATCAGTATCCCGAAAACCCCAGGAACCAACCTATGAACCAATCCCCCCCCACCCTAGCCAGACATTGACGTCATCGCAATCCCCGAGAGCCAAGCCCTAGCTGCCGCCATAGATTTTAAACCTAACCGCTTCTATCGCCACCGATCTTAAATTGTAACCACTTCTACATTTGAGGGTCGTCGTCACCATCCCCTTCACCTCGAATCGGATAAAAATTAAAGAAGAAGAAAAAAAAAGAAGAAGGGGAAGGAGAAGGGGAAGGGGAAGGGGAAGGGGAAGGGGAAGGGGGAGGGGAGAGGGCCACACGACGGAGACGGCATGGGGGTGAAGGCTTTATGCGCTGATAGCTTGAGATGGTTGTAGGCCGGGAGGGGGTTATTTTGAGGTGAGATGGCTGATGGGGCTTTGTGCTTTGTGATTTGGAGGAGTTTTGAGATATTTCTATGAGGCCCTGTTTGGTTGGAGGGTTTCGGTGGGGAGGGGAGGAAAGTGGGGGATTTGTGTGTGTTTGGTTGAAGGTATTGATGGACTCGGGCCGGGTGGCCCGACCTAGAACCGACCCGGGACCGGTACTGTTCCGGTCCGGCCCGACCCGGTGGCCCGGTCAGTGACCGGTCCGGGTAGGTCCGACCCGTGAGTTTTCCGGTCCGAGCTCGGGTCACCCAAAACAAGGCCCGACCCAGCGGGCCCGGGCTCGGTTCTGGCCAAAACTATTTTTTTTCAATTTTTTTAAAATTTTCGGGTTGGGCTGGGTATTTTGGGCCATTTGGGGTGGTTTGGGGGGTTGGGGGTGGGAGGGGGGTTAATTAGGAAGAGGGAAAAAATTGATAATAGGCCCGGACCGGACTCGGTGGTTACCCGGGCAGGTCCACCACTTCTGAACCGCCGGCCCGCCCGGGCCTAGGCCTGACCCGGACCTGGCCCGGATCCGAGTTCATCCCTGGTTGAAGGAAATAGGGGGAGGGGAGGAAAGTGGAAGGCTTTCAAAATCCTCCACTTCCTCCCAAATCGGGGTATTTCGGAGGAAACGTGTTGATAACCACAAACTACCCATCTCATGTGTGAATAAACAAAACGTTATAATATAAAAAGGTAAAAAACAAAAAAAAAAATTGAAAAATAAAAAAATTTAAAAATTTAAAAATTGAAAGATTAAAAAATTTAAAAATTAAAAAATTAAAAATTTTAAAACTTAAAAAATTTAAAAATTATAAATTAATACTACGTAATTTTAAAAATTAAAAATAAAAAAAAATTAAAAAATAATAATTAAAAATTCCAAACTGAAAAATGAAAAATTAAAAAATTAAAAAAGTAAAAAATCAAATAAAATAAAATTATGACTCATGACCATAGGAGTAATATTCACAATAGTTAGATATGTGTCTATTTTTTAAGTAAGCTATCAAATAAAAGTAAATTGCGAAAATATTTTCATTAAACCTTTCCTCCTATTTCCTCCAACAAAACACAATTTTTTATCAAAATCCTTCCTTCCCCTTCCCTTCCCTCCTTGACTCTCCCCTTTCCTCTCCTTCTTTGAACCAAACAAGGCCCGAAGGAGAAAAGGGGAATCAATGGTTGCCAGAAGCGATTGCCAATATTCTTTTCAAATTTTTAAATGGTCATATTTTTGTCCATTTAATTCTTAGAGGTAATATTTTTGTCACTCTCTCTAAACGGAGCATATTCATATTTTGACCGTTAAGGTAAGAGTATAGATCGTTTCAAGAGAGGATGAAATGTGTCCTTAATTTATACTAATTAATTGTGCATAACTATGTAATAAAAGAATCTAATAGACTTTATATAGTAGTGATAAAACAAGAGAAAAGGTACTATATATGAACAAAACATAACACCTTTTTTCAATTAGGGTTACTATTGTCTTATGATTTAGGACCTGTCAACTTCCAAAAGAAAAACATTTAACAACTTTATTTTTTCATTAAGATTAAATAAGTCTACTAATGAAATCGAAATATTATTTAGAATACGTATGAACTTCATCCATATTGTACTCCTACTTCGTATAATTATCTATCAATTAAGCCATGTGACTCTACCTACAGGATGGTACAACATGGCTATTGAACGGACCACAACAATCACTTGCATTTATCTTGGCAGATGCTGGGTTTGATGTGTGGATTTCTAACTTGAGGGGAACCACACACAGTCGTAGACATGTTACCCTTTATGCTAATAGTGACCGAGTATGTATTTCTTCAAACCTTAATTACTACTCCCTCCGTCCCGTTGGAATGTTCTTGCTTTTCTTTTTTGGATGTCCCGTTGGAAATTTCTCATTTCCCTAAATGGAAAGTTATCCTACATCAAAACAGGGTCAAACAGTGTCGAAACAGTGTCAAAACAGTAAAATTTAGCCCATGGTAAGTTTATTTCCTTAATATGTGTGTAGGTCAAACCGGGAACATTCCAACGGGACGGAGGGAGTATGATATATCATTCATTCATGACCAAACAAGATCAAATAGCTTCATTCCCCGTCACAAAATAAAAAGAGAATGTTTTATTCACGTTATAATGAGAAGACTATGAATCAACCATGCTCAATTTGAAACCCAATAAATTTTGATATCTTCTTATCTTTTGGTTCATTATTAAACACCAGTCTGGCAAGAGAAGTGACTTAAAACTTCACATATTGTTTTATTTGAGCAATGTGAAATGATGATTAGCAAACCTGAGAGCCTATTCATTGTGAATTGTTTATTAACCATTGGTTAGATGTAGTGAAAACATTGTCTTATGGGTTTGGAAGTGCAGAAGTATTGGGAGTGGACGTGGGATGATTTGGTGGAACAAGACTTGCCTACTATTGTAAATCTCGTGTTTGATACAACTGGTCAAAAAGTTCATTATATAGGGCATTCAATGGTATGATTTGCTCCAGAATATTTTTCAATCTTTGGACTTTTTTGAAATTATTTGAAAAACATATGCAAAGTTTCCATGTCTTTCCAATAAAGTTCATAGACACTATGTGTAAGATCTAACCTTCTTTCTAGGACAACATGATAATATACATTTTTGTATGTGAGCGTAGCTCAATCGGTTGATAGGGAGTGCAGGTAGATCCATGTTCAGTTCTCGGGAACTACGTTTGGAGCCAACCTTGCTTAGCAGGAGTTCGCGCAAATACCACGCGAAGATCCCACTTTCTATCAACCGGATTATAATATAGAGTTCAATTTAACCCTCTCAACACTCTATGATCGGCTGATTATGAAGCCTCAGAGAATTTGTCATACATATTTTTTAGCTGATGTAGTCACACAATTTCATAAAAATTTATAGGGGACGTTAATAGCCTTAGCATCCTTGTCGGAAGGGAAGATGGTAGACATGGTCAAGTCCGCAACCTTGCTAAGCCCAATTGCCTACTTAAGTCATATGGCCACTGCAATTGCTTTTTTTGCTGCCAACTCTTTCATCGGTGAGGTGCGTTATAAATTTCCCTATCACTTTAAATTATCATATATTTAAGAAAGCACAGCTAATAAGAAAAAATATTTACATGCCTGACAATTTCAATGTGCAATGTCCATAGATCATTGGAGCCTTTGGTTTTGCTGAGTTTAATCCTAAGGAGTAAGAATTTACAACCATTAAATTAAATTCTATGATATGGTAGTATGTCATCTTAGATGTGATTAATTAGCTAATTACACCCTTCTGCATTTCTACAGCAAGTTTGTGACCGAAATTCTGAGGGCTAAGTGCTTTCGAGCACCAGATGGGATAAACTGCAATGACTTGATGACTATATTTACAGGTATGATATTGCATGATTGTGTGTGCATGCAATGTGCTTCTGCACGCACGCGGAACCAAGAATATGATCTAGACAGGGGCGAAGCTTAAATAAATTATTTTGCGGGGCTCAAAGTTTAATATGTAACATATTGTTTTCAACTTATACATGTTCATGCATATATGTATGTATGTGTGTATGTGTGTATGTGTGTATGTGTGTATGTGTGTATGTGTGTATGTGTGTATGTGTGTATGTGTGTATGTGTGTATGTATGTATGTATGTATGTATGTATGTATGTATGTATGTATGTATGTATGTATGTATGAAATAAATACTCCCTCCGGTTCCAAAAGATCTTGACACTTTGACTTCACAGTTTTTAAAGAAATAAACACTGTTTGACACTGTTTGACACTGTTTTGTGTAGATTTATTTGCCAAATAAGGCAAATAAGGAAGTGTAAAGATCTTTCTGGTACTGCTAAAAATGAAAAGTGTAAAGATCTTTCAGAACCGGAGGGAGTATGTATGTATGTATATATACATACACACACACACACACACATACTATAAAACATATTGGGGGAGGCCCCCTTCAGCCTCTCCCTGGCTTCACCCCTGTCTCCACCCTTTTAAAACACATTTACATAATGTTTTAACATGTCTTGATCACAGGAAAAAATTGCTGTCTAAATAACTCTAATTTTGAGCTCTTCTTGGAATATGAACCACAACCAACATCGACTAAGAACCTTGTGCATATGGCCCAGAGTAAGTGTTAACATTAATGTTAGTGGCAATGGCTGACACAAAGTCCCATGATGAGGGCAGTCAAGCGCTCATAATTTTTCTTAAAAAATTAAGGTTGTGTGTTTCATGGTAAAATGTATAAATCTAGGCTCTTATGTGATGCCTTAAAAATATAGGGAAAGCTCCCCAAATATGAGTAAACAGGTTTTCAAAATTCAAAATATGACTATTATGTTTTTCTTCTCGAAAAAAGAGTAGCATGACATTATTTACAACCATGTTGAAGTCAGGACTGCCAACATAGTTGCAGTACTATGCATTAACATCACAATATTTTTCAATCATACCCATAAAAATATTGTGTCAGCCACATGCCATTATATTGGCGCATAGAATTTCTTTTTGAGGGGTTTTCCCTTCCCTCTGCGGCGCTTCATTTCATTAGGGAAGTATATGTATCCAATTCTTAACATGTACACTTGAATTTTCGAAGCTGTTCGCAGTAGAATCCTAGCGAAATACGACTATGCGCTGAAGAATAATGAACACTATGGACAACCTCGACCTCCCATATACAACCTCACCAACATTCCTCTTGACATCCCCATCTTCATAAGCTATGGAGGTCAAGATGCTTTATCAGACGTTAAAGATGTGCAAAATCTACTCGATTATCTCAAGTCCCATAATAATTTTAAAATGCATGTTCTGTACATCAAGGAATATGCTCATGCTGACTTTATTATGGGGATAACTGCAAAGGACTTGGTGTATAACAAAATCGTTGACTTCTTCACAAACTTAGATTGAGTTTTTTGGACTTTAGTTGCAAAGAAGTGAAAAAGTGGTTGTGTAATTATATTGTGCAATCTAAGTGGTCGTACTTTATATATCAGTTTTACAAGTTTGTTAACTGCTGTGCAACTCTTGATGTTTATTTGCTTTGTGTTTTCTCTTGTTCATCTTTTTTCCGGATCACTTCTATGCTGGCCAATTTACCAAATTGATAAAACTAAAAAGTGCGTTTGAAAATTTGATAAAAATAAAAGCTCCAATGAGATACACTACTAGAAAACAGGTCTATTGTGACATTAAATAAGTGTCATAGAAAGTTTTACTCACACTAGAAAAGTGTCATAGAAGGTCGGGAATTTTGATACTAAATTTAGTGTCGTCGGTAAAATGTCACTAATTTGAGACACTGATGTATCATAACATTTTATGATAACATAACATCACTTTACATTTTGACACGTTAGTATCAATTAAATTTATGATACATTGGTATCACATAATGTTGATTATATATAAATGTTATATATATAGGGTGCGGTTCTAGTGAGAACGATGCTTAACGTAAGAACAAATCCTAACCAATCATCTTATTAAATGACCGGCTATTACGTAATTGGTGGAACACAAAACCATGCACTTTCACACATTGTAAACTGTCTCTTAGAATCGAAAATAGGTGCGTGTAAATAAGACAGGGCAAAATGGTAATTAACAAAGCAATTTCCTTTAATGAGGCAGCAACTTCCATGTTTTGTTGTCATTTAATGTAACGGTTGGAAGGCCACTATCCGAAAAGGTAGGTTAAAATAAAGAAACAAAAAAATGTTTTTAATTTAAAATTGATTTAACTTTTTAAATTATAATCCAACTTGAGCGTTATATACATGTGTGTCATATAACTCATATGTGTGTGGCTGAATAAAAAAACAATTTGAGCGTTATAAGTTATATAACTCATGCTCATTTCCGTATATGTTTCGGATCAAATAAAAACCAATCGTAATGTTAAAACTTAAAACCGTTCACTAATTCCCCAATGTGATGTACTTTAAGGGTGATCTATTGCAGTTTTTTAGCTTCGATCAAACCCATGTTAAATAAAAAAATGTCGTGACATTTTCGTAAATAAGTCAAAGTATTCTGACAATTTGAAAAAGTGCAACATAGGAATCTAATAATGCATCACATTGTGGAAGAAGTGATTGCAATTTTCACGGGAGGAATGCTTTTAATTTGATCTGCACCCATATTTTTTTTAACTTGGAAGACAAACCACCAAAATCAATGAGACAAATGTCGGGGAACATTTGCCAAATTTTATTCAAAAAGATAAATAAATACAAAAGAGAGAGGGACTAGGGCAAAACCTCTCCGAGGCATACCACCGAAAATACATGATAAACAAAATAAAAGAACAAAATGAAAAGAATTACACACACACACACACACACACACATATATATGTATATATATATGTAAATGTGTAGGTGTATATATGTATATATATATATATATACAGTGTAATATTTACAAAATAGAAAATAGGCTAAAGGGTCAAATAGGTCCTTGTACCCTTTCAGAATGCTCAATTTGCCCCCTCAACCCAAAAAAGCTCCAATTGGCACCCTGAACTCGATAAAAATATTCAAATTTCACTTTTTGCAGGTTTCAATCCGGTCACCGCCACGTCATCCGGTATGGTGCCAACTGTGCATGTGACGTGGCAACTTAGGGGGTCAAATAAGCCCCTGAACCCGATCGAATCGTTCAATTTACCCCTTCAACCCTAAAAAATGTCAAAAAAAATTTAAGGGTTGAGGGGGTAAATTGAACATTTCAGTCGGGTTCAGGGGCTTATTTGACCCCCTAAGTTGCCACGTCACATGCACAGTTGGCACCCTACCGGGTGATGTGGCGGTGACCGGGTTCTGACCTGCAAAAAGTAAAATTTGAATCTTTTTATGAAGTTCAGAGTGCCAATTGGAGCTTTTTTGAGTTCGGGGGGCAAATTGAACAATCCGGAAAGGTACATGTGTCTATTTGACCCTTTAGCCTAGAAAATATATTAAATAGATGCATCAACGTGCAAAACCGAAAGTTACATAATGCTGAAAGAAGTGAAAGAATGAAAATATAGTAAGACAAACATGTATTGTGTTCATTTTTATTTTAATTATTAAATAATTCAACGCGCAAACCCAAAAGTTACATGCATTTTGTTCAAAAGATTGATTGATAAGACTGATATATAAGCCTAAAAACACATATTCAAACGGTATTCAAAGTTGGTGAAAATATGGTGTTTACATCAAAGTTGGTAAATAAATGTAACAACCAATAGTGTTCAATGTTATTGTAGTATATATTACTTAATAACTATACTAAATAACTCCATATATAATTAGTCAGAATAGCTGCAATTTCAAAATTTTCATAAGTATAAGTACCGAAAATCCTGAAATAGAAGTAAATATGTTTTTGAATGTAAAAATATACAAGACTGTCATGTTTTTACCCCCTAAGAATGAGTAATAACTGTCCGTTTAAGCAATAGTATCATATTTAGAGCCATTAGATGACACTTAATTGACTAATTTAGCTGAATCTGCCGAAATTGTTGAAGTATTGACCAAAACATCCGAGTGAGTTGAATTATGGAAAAATTATATTTAAAGTTTTTTTCACTAATAAAATGAAGAAAGAGTTATATCTTTTATCAATGGCACTATTTTTTTCATCGTACATGATATAAAAGAAGATATACAGAGAAAAACATGCACATCACCCTATCATTTTTCTTATTTATTGAGAAAATATATAGATTTTCTATGGTAGAAAATATATAGATTTTAATTAGCATCGGTAATTACTGATAAACAAGTAAATTGAAATGCTTTTAGGGATTCATTTTTACCTAAAGTCATAGCCGGTGGGATGAATAAGCATGTTTTTAATTTAATTTATTTTACATTCAGATCAAATCAGACTTAAACAAACCAGACAAGATTAGACTCAAATAGACCAAATTAGATCAGACATCCACAGTTGTAAACACATAGATCAAACATCTATCAGACGGGATCAATTAAGACTCGACAAGACCAGATTAGATTAGACTAGATCAAACAAATTAGACCAGATTAGATCATAATAACCAGACCAGACAAGACTAGAATTTTTTGTTTCATGTAAAAACATCCTAAGGAAGCTCCGAAATACAAAAAGAACAATACTAGCATGTGAGCAAATACTTTTATTAAAACATGAGTATAATGTTTGGTAAACATTAACGCTTATACTTTTGATGTATAGAATTAATAATACTTTGTAAATGTATCTCTATTTTCATCTACATAAGATATAAAGTGGCCGAATGATTACTATTATTGAAAGGAAAATTGCCCTTGATCACATCGAGGGAAAAAATCGTTAAGTGCAGTGTGACAGAAAGATATTTATGTACATGTCATTATAGTTAAATTATATCTATCACAATACAATGTAATATTAATCAAGTTATTATCCTACGTACTCTACATATATCCCGTGCATCGCACGAGTCATTTGTCTACTCTAAATAACCGCAAAAGAGTCATTTGGGGGCTGATTAGTTCCAAAGAGGTCTTGGGAAGGGCCTAGCCAATAGGGTAGAAAATGTTTTGCTTTTATGTATAATAAGTAAAATATATATTTGAATTTTTGTTTTTGAAGATATTTTTAATTGGACTAAAATTATCTAGTCTGATCTGATCTGATCTAATCTGATCTGGTAAATATGTAATTTTTATGTACTACTACCTCCGTTCCCATTTTAATTTCCAAATGGGTTTGGTACAAAGTTTAAGATAGTGGATATTGTGTGGTGGAGAGTTGTGCAGAGGAGAGAGAAATGTGTAAGAAATGTTGTGAACCACAAATTCTTTACCAAAAAGGGAAAGTGGAAGTTTTAATTGGAACGGACGAAAAAGGAAAGTTAGAAGTTTTCTTAGGAACGGAGGGAGTAGTATTTTATAATTGTAGAAGTCTGATATGTTTAAACTTGATTGAGTTTGATTGATGTGTGTAAGTTTTAGTCTTTTTTAAGTCTAGGACTGAAAATATCCGAAGAGCCGCAAGACAAGTCGAATTGCGTGATGGCCCAGTGGGCTTCTTGGTTTCTTTATACGTGAAACCTAAGAGTCCGAAACCCTAGCTATTAAAGTCGTTCGTAAGCAGCAGAAGAACTAAGAAGAAGCAAAGAGAAGATGCAGATTTTCGTGAAAACCCTCACGGGCAAGACAATCACTCTTGAGGTCGAGTCTAGTGACACCATCGACAATGTCAAGACTAAGATTCAAGATAAGGAAGGTGCGTGTGTATATAATCTCTTGTTGGCCTATACATCCATTTAACTCCATCGTAAAGAAATATATATTTTCATTTCGTTTGAATTTTGTTTGATAAATCGTGGGTTAGGAATTCCACCGGATCAGCAGAGGCTGATTTTTGCTGGGAAGCAGCTAGAAGACGGCCGTACTCTTGCCGATTACAATATTCAGAAAGGTACATGTTTCTTCAACGTTTTGGATTTTTTTTTTTGCCGGAAGAGCTATTAAATTCATTCTTTTGCATTCTTAATTTGAAATTGAATAGAGTCTACTCTGCATCTGGTGTTGAGGCTTCGTGGAGGAATTATCGAACCGTCTTTGGTGGCTTTGGCTAGGAAGTTTAACCAAGAAAAAACTATATGCCGCAAGTATGTTCTTTAACTATCATATTTATTTGATTTGAATTTGCGTTTTAGATCCCATATATTTATGCTTGTTTGAAAATCAATTTCTCCAAATTGTTTTGGTTTGAGCTCCCATTAAGAAAAAAACAACTTTGCCGAAAAGTAGTTGGTGTTTTTCCATTTATTTTGTTTTCAATGCATACAGATCTCAGCGTCTATTTTAGAAAATGCCCTTCATTTCAAACGCAAAAAATCAGTGTTAAATACTCCTTATGAATCTATTACATTCAGTGATGTTTTGTTCTTGTCAGTGTGTATGATATACTAGGTCAAGTTACACCAATACTATCTAAATTATTATGTATTGTTAGGCTGTATTAATATGGGTGTGTTTGATTAGTTATATCTTTCTTATGAGGTCTGTAACCAGCATAAGCCAAATATGAGTCTTAGTTTGTACTTGATTTATGGACCAAATAGCTTATCAATTCTTTAAAAATACATTTTACAAAAGGTGTATACCCTGTAGTATTAATGATAGTTTAAGGTATTAATATACTTAATATAATAAACATGTATCTAAACTGAAAAATAGTCTTGGCAATATGAAACACTTGTACAAACATATCCTTCTACCCGAACACCATCTTGTACATGACACTCACATTAGTATGTTTGCAGTTGTGATTGTGCACGAAAAAATGTTGTCAAATTTGGTTCACAATTGGTTTTAGAGTAGCATATTCATTCATTATTAAACTGTCAACACGTCTTATTTGGCTCAGTATAAATATAGACTATTTGTTGCAGTCACTTTCTTCTGTTATAGTCTTCCTATTTTGCTTTTTTTGAGTGTCCCTTGATAATCATTTGTTTCCTGATATGGTATTGAATCTTTCCTTTTTATTTGAATTTCAACCACACCCATTTCATTTTCTTCCGATCTGTGCAAAGTCTAAATGGCAAGGTATAAATTGGGACATGGAGAGCATTTTAACTGTAAGTCATTCAGGATCTGATGCTGCTCTTTTATCTACAGGTGCTATGCTCGGTTGCATCCCCGTGCTGTCAACTGCCGCAAGAAGAAGTGTGGGCATAGCAATCAGGTTTTGTTTGTGTTTTACTAGCCTCTGTTTTATTAGCTGTTGTCATTCTTGTACAGCCTTAGGCTCAATATGCTGTTTTCAATTTTTGGGTGCAGTTGAGGCCAAAGAAGAAGATCAAGTAGATTATGAATCTGAACATTTTCAAGTCCATTGTTGTTCTGCTTTGCTGTTGTCTGCTTTGAGTCATCTTTCAAATGTAATTGCATCAACTTTGATGCTTTTTCATTTATGGTTTTGGTGAACTTTTTAGCACTTTTAACATTGTTTGCACTTCAGGTTCAAATGCTATTACGTAGTACTATTAACTATTAAAGCTAAGATGCTTGAAATGCACTTTCAATTGTTTATAGGGTCTCTAGTGTGCCAGTTTGAAATCCAAACTAAGGATGGACTGGGCCTGGGTCAGGCTGATCCCCAGTCCGGGATTGGGCCAGACTTGGGATGAACGCCCTGTACCGGATGGGCCCTAGGTTGGGAGGGGTTTAAGTTTTTATTTTTTAAATTTTGTTTTTTCCGATGTATTCCTACCCCCCAGCCTAGCAGCCAATGAAAGCAAAAAAAAAAATTCCAAACCGGAGGCCTGGCCCGGTCCCGGGTCCATTATTCTTGAACCGCCGGCCCGCCCTGGCCTAGGCTTGACCCGGACCCGGCCCGGACCCGAGTCCAAACCTAGGAATAGGGGTGGACTGAACCATGCTGAACCAGCCTGTGAATCGAACCGGCCTGTTATGGTGCGGGTCGGGACCAGGACCGGATGGCCGGTTTCGGGCTTTAGCCAGGGTTGGGCGGGTCGGGTTCTGGCCCTGTTTTTCTTGAACTGGCCAGGGCGGTCCGGGCCGTTCATTTGTTTTTTTTTTTTTTTTTAATTTTTTTTCTTTTCCTTGTTAGGGCTAGGTGTTTTGGGGAGGTCTGAGGGGTGGAGGGGGGGGGGGTCGAGGGTTATTTAGAAAGCAAAAAAAAATATACATTGGACTGGCCTGACCCGGTTTGGACTGGCCCGGACCGGCCTGACTCGGTTTGGACCGAACCCCATATCAATCGGGGTCGGTTTTGGGCCCAACATCTGGAAAAAAGCCCAGCTTGAATCGGTCCGGAGCCCGACCCGGGGCTGGTCCATGCCTAGTTGGGAAGTAGAGAACAGATGAGGTTAGCAGACGGAAGGAGAAGAAAGGGTTTCAATAAACGTTGGTGAAAAACCAATAATCAAAGCCATGTGGTGGCCACATGTCGGTGATCGTAATTCTGGTCACCATTAAGGCGTTTGCTTGTGGTTGTTCGGACGGCTGCATATGAGAAATAAATATCTTTGTAGGAGTATGATTCAATTGGATTGTTTTTTTTCTGATTGTGTTTGTTTTAGTCCGTGGTGGTTCTTTCTTGGGTGTCGATGCTCCTGGATGTTTTGTTTCCCTCAATGTGAAGGGTTGTTTTGGTGTCCCCACCAGCTTTGCCTTGGCAAGAGTTTCTGACTGTCTTGTTTTGGGATGCATATAAAATGGTAGAGTTCGTCCTCCTTTAAAACTATCTTCACGTCATTAAAAATTTTATGGATATACTTTATTTCAATTTTATTTTTTCTTTAATAGTGTTGATTTTTATTTTGGGGTTTGTCCACTAATATAACTAAAATAAAGCTTTTGGACAAAAATGATACCTTTTGTAATTTTTTCCAAAAATGTGACTAACGAGCTTTAAACTTACTAAATTACCCTTAATTAGTTTAATTGATAGTGGCATGACCCGTCCCAATGACATGACTCTTCACAGTGACCTAACCCATCCAATTACAGTTACCCGATTCAATCAGTTATAATTACCCGATTTGACCAGTTACAGTTACACTATTTGACCAGTTACAATTATCAGATCCGATGAATTACAGTTACATGGTCCAATCAGTTACAATTATCAAAACCCAATTACAATTATCTGATCTGACCTGTTATAGTTACCAGTCACAATTACCCGGCTTGATCAAATATCCAACCCAACCCGTTGCAATTACTCAGTTTGACCTATAGTTACACAATTTTGCAATTACTCCGTTTAATAGTGATCATCACTGCCCACCGCTACCGGAAACCACAACTGGCGGCAACCACCACTGCCGGTGGCTCGCTGCAGGCACGGCTCACCCCTCCCTAGTTGAACCCCAATGCCTCTACATCCCCACTCCTCCCTTGCCTCCCCTAGCGTCGCTCGCCATGTCTCCAACCCTCACCCCAAGCCCAACTACCTCTACGGCCCCCTCCCAGCCCCATCCATGGTCGTCGCTGACCCCGTAACATCAGTCGCGGAAGCTGCTGATCCCAACCCTTGACCCAACCTACTTCGAACTCGTAACCATAATCACGCAATCTAGCAACCCTTCCGCCTGTGCCTCCGCGCATCATCACCTTGAGTCAGAACTAGAGGAAGTAGCGAGCACTCCAGAGAAAGGAGAAGAAAAAGAGTTGTTTGTCGATGTCAATGGATTGCCACCATCGTTGGAACTCAGTGCAGCACAGAAGCCATCTTTGTCGTCGAAGGTGTGATGAACCGTTGTTGAAGCAGACCCGTCGCAGATCCGTCGTTGAAGCAGATCCGCCGCTGAAGAGTTTCTTTGCGGATGACATCTCTGTGTCGACCGCGAATGTCTTGAATGGTGAGGTCTGTAGCAGATGCACGCACTTGAGAAGGTCTATGGATGCAGAGAGCGGAGAGAGAGGGAAAAGGGGATTTGAGGACATTTCAGACATTTGGCATCACTTCTGTCTCCTTTTTGTCTAAAACGGAATTAGGTTCTATTTTTGTCTAATCAAGTCATGAGAGTCTTATTTTTGACATTATTTCTTTTATTTTAGCTCGATTAGGTTTGATTTGAATTTTTGGATTTTTGAAGTATTTTTGTTAGACAATGTTTTAGTTTCTACTGGTTTAGGTTTAAAATTGTGTGTTCCGTGTCTAGCGAATCAGATTGTTTTGTATAAGGTGATTGATTATATGTCTATCCCTAGGACGTACGATTCGAAGGTTATTTTGTATAAGTTCTTGATATTATTATAAGAAGCTGCCATTTTATATTAAAAAAGATATTTTCTAACTTTTGAACTTTTTCTTTTCTTTTTTGTTTTTTTTTGTTTTTTTAATTTTGTAATTGCAAATTTCTATTTATATATATTTTTTTAAATTTTAATTTTTAAGTTTTTCATTTTAAAATATTAAATTTTTAAATTTTCAAAGGGCGAGTTTGGCAACGACCGGCGGCAGGGTAAGTTTAACGTTGGTGCTGCTACTAGAAGGGCCATTGAGGTCTTGGTTTTCTGGTCGGAGTTGCAAAGCCTTAGGCGAGTTTGTGTTCCACAAGGGAAGCAGATGCGGTGGGGGGCATTTAGGAGGCGCTAAGTTGGTTAAACATCAAAATTGACATTTTGTGGATATTGAACGGCTTTCCAAGTTATAAGTCAAATCTAATCGGGTATTTGCAAAACAACATTTGATCTTCTTGTTGTAGATATAAAAAAATACTCTGTATTAGTGCTCCATACGGTTACCGGTGGGCGTAGCTCAACTGGAAGCAAGGGAGTGCCACAAGGGTTAGGTCCCGGGTTCGAATCTCACCAACTGCGGTGAGGGGTTACTATGCTAAAAATGCATAGGGTCTCCGTAAGTACCGGGATCAGAGCTCCACTCTCTATCTGTCAGATTGGGATTATAATCCAATTTACATCATCCTAACGTACCGTCCGGTCGGGATTGGGGGCCCCTCAGGGATGAGGTGTCATCCTTTCTTGCTTGTTACTTATTCGTTAGCTTGGGTAGCCGATTCCAGGTAAGTTTGTCGAGTTTTGTTTGATTACCATCTTTTTTATACTTCTTCTGTTCCTTAAAACTTTACCAAGTTTGATCGGCACGATCCGCACGGGGATTAATAAAGTAAAAAGTGTGTGGTTGATGTTTGTGCTGAGGAGAGAGAATTATCTGAAACCACAAATTCTTTACTTAAAAGGGAAAGTGGCAAAGTTAGTGGGACATCCAAAAAGGAAAAGTTGACAAAGTTTGGGATGGAAGTATTTGTCAATGTATCGACATTGATTTGACTAATGATATTTTAACTCATTCTTCTCAAAAAATATCAGCAAATATTCTGCCTAAATACAATTATACAAAAAAACTGTCATCATTGCAGATTCAATGAAACAAGGTGCTAGTGAAAACAAAAAAGTACACAATGAAAATGGCAATTAATCAATATATCGCCATCCCTTGTAATTTTGGAATATGTTTTTTGTTATACAAGTCAAGTTTTCAATTTTTACTCTACACGATTTTCAAATAAGAGCTCGTTTGTTTGATTTTACATTAAAATTTTGCACCCGTAAAAGTTGGGTTTAGCCCCAATAAATATTTTTTCTGATAAAATTTCAGATAAATTTTTACACTTAAAATACAATCGTTTTTCAAATTTGGGGTGTATCGTGCCCCAATGAGACTCTATATATCTGCCCCTGGTTTGTAAAGTTTTAGAAAAATAACTACTCCCGAAATAATCGTCCTGTTTTGACCATCACACAAATTAAGAAAACAAAGCTTACTTCACACTGTAGCGACATTGTTTGACACTGTAGCGACACTGTTTGACATTGTAGCGACACTGTTTGGCACTGTTTTCCACTGTTTTGTATAGATTTGTTTACCAAATAAGGAAAAGAGACAATTATTTCGGGACGGACCGAAAAAGAAAACTGGACAATTATTTCAGGACGGAGGGAGTAATTTTCGTATAAAATAATAATATATTGTTTGATTGGACGTGTACTGCATTTGAAATTACAAATAATGTTTGCAAATTTTTTAAAGAGCATTTAATATTCTTTTTCGACGGAAGTAGTTAGGGGTCTCCTAAGGGCATCCTCATTGGGAGGATTATTATGAGATTAAATTGGTGACATGGCTGTTTTTTTAGAGAATTATCATTGAGTGACATAGATTGTTTAATGAGTTTATTTGCTACAATAATCTGGGATCAAAATATGAATCTCGATTATTTTAGGATTATTTGAAAAGTATATGTAATAGAAATTAATGCAGGACAGAGAAAAACATATTATTTGAAGATGATGAGTGAGAGACATAAACGAATTTTGAGATTATTTTATAATTAATTACATGACAATATTTAAATGGTAAGAATCATAAAAAAATTGATTATTAGAGATCATGAATGGAGATGCTCTGAGGTAGAGAGAAACACTTCTTCAACGATTGTTCTTGAGGAAGAGGTTGAGTTTCTCGTTCGACAATTATGGTAGGAAGCTTCGATGAGGAAGGCTTCGGTTATTTCAGGAAGGACGAACTCAACGTGCAGCAGACAACAGTAGACAGCCTTAAGTTTCAGGATTCATTCCGACGTAAGAGTACTGCTCCCTCTGACCCAATTTGATTTGCAAAAATTCCTTTTTTGATTGTCCCAAAATGAGTTTTCACTTTCTATTTTAGGTATGTAAATAAGAATAAAGTGACAAATTTACTCTTACTTTTACTTTTTCTTCATTAACTTAAAGATATCTACTTTTAGAAGGATGGGCAAAAGTGTAAAAATCAAGCATCATTTATTGTCATTTATTAATCTTTGTGCCGGTCAAAGTTTGCAATTCAATTCGGGACGGAGGGAGTATGTTTTTAACTACTTCAATAATTTTGAGAATTAATAAATACTTTTACTTCGATAATTTCTTGAGCTTTTTCCTTCAATATTACTAAATTTAAACCGATTTCCGAAAATGTGATCATTTTTAAAAAAAGACAAAAATGTGACTAAGAAGGTCACATATTTGAAAAACATGAAGCCACTTTCATTTTTTGTCACTCCGGACTATTATGTCACTATTATATATTTATATGTTACTATAAGATATCATGTCAGTGTCGCCACCGCCATTGTCGGTCACCGCCATTGTCGATCACCGCCATTGTCGGTCACCGCCATTGTCGGTCACCGCCATTGTCGGTCACCGCCATTGTCGGTCACCGCCGCCACCGATCACCGCTGCCGGCCACAACAACAACACCACACTGACACTGTTGACGGCCACAGTGACACCGCCATAGTGACACCGCTAAAGTGATTCCGGCCAAAGTGACGGCCCGCCCATCACCCACAGTGACATCGCCATAGTGACACACCCTCCACCGCTCCTCACAGTCCCTCAGCCTCGTCGTCGGCCAACCCCACCCTAGGATTGCCCTTCCACTGCCGCCTGCCACCATCGTTGGCCGCCAATCCCATCCCATCTTCTACACTGACCCCAACCCCCTTTCCATCCCCTAACCCCACCCGTCATCGCTGTCCCTGCTACACCCGGCCAACGTCGCCACCCTTGCCCCCCAGCCACAACCCCTCCCCCTGCTCCCTAGCCCCCTTTCTGCCCCCAACCACCTCCCCTGCTCCCCGAGCTCTCTTTCTGCCTCAACCCCCTCCCCTGCTCCCCCAACCCCATTTTCTGCTCCAGCTCCATCCCTTGCACCCCCAGCCCCCTCCCCTGCTCCACCCACAACTTCACAACCGCGTCCACCCACAGCTTCCCGACCCCATTTCCAGCCTATCTACCCCAACGCCGCCCAACCCCGCCAACACTTGACTTCCCCACCACCGCACCTCACTGACCCACCCCTACACCGTCGTAGACACTGTCACTCCGGTGGGTGACGCCTCCGGCCGAACTCATCCAGCCCTATCATTGCCAAACAATCCCCCACCAGCCCCATTGATCCCCATCGATGCCCACCACCAGCCCTTTGCCCCAGATCTGACCATAGCCAACAGTGTGGATATAAATCCTGATCTCATCTTGACCACAACCCCCCGCCACTCCCCAGCCACCGAACCACCGTCTTCACCAGGGATACGCCAGAAAGAAAGGGAAGAAATAGAGGCAAGGTAGGGCGACGACGTCAGAGAAGACGATGGCAACAACGACAGAGACGACCAACGAATCGAAGGAGGCGACGGAAACGACAGTGGGGCGAAGGCGGCGAAGATCTGCTGCCTGGTGGAGGAGACGATCTGCTTTTGCGCAGTACTATGTTCAACGAGTTCGACGATGGTGGGCGAAAGAGGAAAGGCGCAGACAAGATCTACGGGCCAGGCATTTGATTTGCAGGGTTTGGAAGTCGACGGAAGAAACCGGATTAGATTTTTAATTTTAAATGTAGTCACTTTTTTGTCCAGTTTTAAAAGAGTAATATTTTTCCGTCTAAAGTTCACAAGTAATATTTATGCCATTATTTCTAATTTCTTGCTCATTCCATTCTACTTTGACAATTTTCTGTTTTTATTAGGCTCAAACCTCCACCATTTTTTTTTACTTTTCTTGAATTTTCATTCGAACTATTGGTCTCACTTTGCAGCCCATTCCTAAATTTGTCGGATAAATTCTAAAAAGTTCTGCTATTCCCAGATTTTGTTCCGATTAGAGAATCGAGAACACATATTTTACGTTTCGGTATCTTTACCGATCGATATATCTGCTCGCAGTTACTTCCGCATCTTCTTTGATTCCTCGAGTAGTATTGCACAGGTGGGCAAATTTCTTCACTCTGAAATATGGTTAGGTTTATAATTTGGAAAGAAGTATAGAAGTATTGATGATATATAATTTTTTTTTGATAGTTAAACCAATTACAAAGTCAGATGTAATTCGACCGGAACTAAGAATTAGCATTCAAAACACTTGCAGCAATCAGCTGATTGGTCATGAACTACTCTCAGAATGCTGCGGCAATCGGCGGTGCTGGTGGCAACGGAACGATGCTCTCCATGTCCAATGTCGCCTCACCGGCGGACTCGTCTGCGTCCGCTACCACCGGCTCACCGGCGGACGATTCCAAACAGAACCTTAACCAAGTCATCAATTCTATACAGAAAACCCTCGGGATGCTCCACCAGCTGTATCTTACTGTGTCCTCCTTCAATGTTGCCTCCCAGCTTCCCTTTCTCCAGCGCATGTGTGTGCCGCAGACTCACCTTTTAAATCTTTCTATACTAGGGTTTATTTCAGCTTCTTTATTCATTTATAATTTGGACTCACCCAGGAATGCTCTTGTTTTGGAGCTTGATAATATGACGAAATTGGCAGAGAAATGTGATATTCAGGTGCCTATGGAGGTTTTAGAGTAAGTTGTTATATCCTTTCATGTTTATTTTCTTCTAAAATCTACTCTGGAAATATCTCATCTTGCTGTTTTCATCTGGTTACTGCTATGTAGTTTAATTGACAATGGGAGGAATCCAGATGAATTCACTAGGGATGTTTTGAATAGTTGCATCGCCAAAAACCAGATTACCAAAGGAAAAACGGATGCTTTCAAGGTTTGCTTTACTTTTTTTTGCATTCCATATGTTTTTTACGTACATATGTGTAATTACAATGTATTCCTGAGATGCCTCAGCTGTTCTCAATGTCTGCTAGCAAGGCAAAAGCCTTGTATCCCTAGAACATTATAATTACATCCTTTTGTTTTTCTGGCATTTTCTTCACAACTAAGCTGGTTCACCACCATAAATAATTTACTTACAACTGCTCTCTATCTGTATCTATATTTAAGATATGGAGTGTCTACTTTATAATTTTTGCTTACTCAAGATAATGTTAATAAACGAATGCATAACAAAATATGGACTATGGAATTTTTTTTTATGGCTATGGCTTGTTCAATTAAATGAGCATGATATTTATTTTTGCCACAGGGTTTGCGAAAGCATCTCTTGGATGAACTTGAAGAGGCATTCCCTGATGAAGTGGAGGCTTATAGGACAATGCGTGCAACTTCTGCTGCAGTAAGTTTCTCTGTTTTAGGGCTTGCTATAAGCCATGTAGGCTACTGTCTAATCTACTCAATTTTGCTTGCCTCAAGTAGGTATTTAATGCACTAGATCTTCAGTTAGCACTTGAGTTTGCACTAATCTAGCCCCTCTAAGCATGCAGCAATCATCTCTTGTGTCCCGTTTGTTATGGAAATACGTACCAAACATATTGAACAAGGCAACCAAATTCAAATAACAGGTGTCTGGTAAACTACTCTGTTGTTTATTGTTCGATGAGAAGCTTGACGTGACACATCACAATCTCTGTCCTCACTAATCCAAAGCTGCATGTTTTCCCGTTGTGTTTGGATCCTATGTGGCCAATGACCCCTTTCTGGCTAGGATATGGATGGTTTCACATGTCTCTGCATGATTTATAATATATGATCTTTAAGCTATACCAATGAGGCTATAAGCACTCCCTCCCTTTTCGAATGAAAATTAACAATCACCCCCTACGAAATTTCATTTAAATGGAGACCCAAATGTGGCTACACGAAAAGGTGGTGGCATAGCCGCATAAGAAGAGGAACATAAGCTTGAGGAGATAAAAATTGCTAACATTAGGCTTACGTTATCGTCTTTTGGAGAGAGAGAGAGAGAGAAAGAGGGAGGGAGTCAAAGATATGATTGTTGGTGACTTGATGGATAGGAAGAAGAAATTGAGGGAGTGGGGATGAATAAGATAGATAAGAGAGAGTTATGAGCTGAGAGATTTGGATAGTTATGAGCTGAGTAGGGATGCAAGGATCAAGATACCATTGAAAGTTATATAATCATTAAATCGTATTATAGATGCATGCTTCCATTTTATCTACATGGAATCTCTTGATGCAGGAGATCTAGCATTCTAGCATTGCCCATATCATGTCAAAATAAAACAAAATTGCCCTGTTCCTGAATTCTGAGGGATTTGTTTCGAGGAGGATAATTGTGAATAAGTAGTGCTAGGATTTTTTGTTTCAGAAATGATAATTGTGATGTTATAAGTGTATTATTTTCAACTGTTTATGATTAAGGTTGTGCTTAAGAGTGTCAATTATTTGCTAAAATAGAAATGAGAATCTTTAGCTGGGACGTCCAAAAAAGAATGTGAGAGCCTTAAGCTGGGATGGAGGAAGTATATATATTTTTGTTTGTTCACTTGGTCTTGAATTATATTTTATGATTATGGGTTGTAACTTGTAAATAATCTACTATTTATGGAACTCCATGTTACTGATTTAAATGATTAAGTTAGTCTAAAACTTCTCGTTGTTGGCTGACCAGATAAATACTTTGATACTTTGATTACATGACGATGTGTTTATAGTCTAGTGTACTAAAAATGCACTCTTTCAGATCTTCAGATGTTACAAGTATCACTAGGTTTATGTAGTTGGTGTATGTATTGTGTTTCTTAATATAACAAAAGCATTTATTTATCCTTGTTTTGAATCCGTGCCTGTATAATTGCTATTACAAAAAGTGACCCTTTACATCCAAAACAGGAAGCAAAACAGTTGGCTCAAGCGCAAAATGCATTAGCAAATGGTGATGTCAAGGTGAAGCCAGAAATTTAAAGCCTCAAGGTTTGACTTATTCTGGTATTGTACACCTCGACTTTATTTGACTTTTGAACCCTCGAACATTTGGATTTTGGAATGAGGCCCTAGGAATTTAATGTAAGCAACTAAAGTTTATTCTTAAGTATTAAGCACTTTGTGTAACTTTATATGCCTTTATGTGCATAGGCTTTGGCTCGGGACTTGCATGGTCTCTCATCCCACTTGTTTGGATCATTTAAAAGTTGGCAGCATGATGAAACAGCTTTGGCAAGTTCATTCCGGATGTTCTGGGGAATCATGTTTGGATCGTAAGACTATTATGCCAAAAAACAGGACAGATCCTTGTTAATTAGTGTACGTGTGCATTGACATTGTTGTATTGTCATCATTATGATTAAACTATGAAGTGTTCTCTTGTGCATTTTACTGGGCGGAAAGTGTGTGCCATAATATAGTTTGAACTTTGAACTCTGTTGATTTAGCTGCCATAAGAAATTGCTGCTGCATGTATATACACAGAAAGAGCTAAATCTGTCTGAGGAAAAGATGTATCCTATAACTCCCACCATTGTAAAGTATTATAATGAATACATGAATCGTAAAAAAACTCATCTATCTCAAACCCACCCTTCTCCTCCATAGATGAGAAGGAACCACCTTGTGTATCTTTTACGTGTATTGGCTGGTCTATGTCTCCACCACTGCTCATAGGTAGAAGAAATTCTGCTGGGGTGCAAGATTGTTGTAAAGTGAGGTTTGGCTTATCCTCTTTTGCTAATGCATTTGTTCCCTCATCATCATTATCAGTCTCATTTCCACAATTTTCTTCAGACTGTTCTCTGAGACTCCATAACTGCCAAGAAGAATAGATGATCATTTGATGGTTATAAATAAATATTCTTCACCCTTAGAGGTTATGTGTATCTAGGGTGGATCCAGTCCTGGAACTGGATCAGACCATGACTGGCCGAGATTTTCAAGGAGACTAGACACGTTTCCCTGTTCAAGACTTGATCCGGAAACCGGTTCAATCCGATTCCAGTTCCTCCATAATAGATAGTACCAGACCTGTTCCGATTTTACACGGAAAATGGCTACAAACCCTGGTCTAAAGGTAATCCTAGAACCGGATTTGGAACCACACTGGGTATACCCAATTCGGGTTCCGCTCTCTATGTGAGCCAGAATTGGCCAGTCTGGAACCGGAAGAGGTCCATCCCTGTATGTACCTGGATGAGAAGGGCATGGTGTTCTTTCTTCAACATATGAAACTGGGATTCGAGATGATCATAACTCATCTTGAGCAGCATGTAGTCATGCTCCATCTGCTTTGACTTGGATCTAGCCCTCTTGTTCTGGAACCATATGGCAACCTGGCGAGGCTGGAGTCCCAGATTCTCAGCCAGCTCCTGCTTTGCCACAAGCTCTGGTCTCGCCTTTGCCTCGAACATCTTCTCCAGTGACTCGATTTGTGTATCGTTGAACCGTCTTTTGTTCACGTTGATCACGTCTTTGCCCTTCCTACCACGAAAAGTCACAGCAGGGTGCACTTCCTCCTGTTCTATCGCCCCCATTTTCATCATCTCATTCTTATTATTATTACAACTTTTCTGAGGACTTAAGATTTGGAAGGTAAGGTTTATGTGTGGCTACTTATGTGTCGCAAAAATGTACACCTGGTGATGATCAATTAACGAGTTGATAGCAGTATAGTGACAAAAGGAGTACTAGCTGTCCAACTTTAGAAGTTGATGTTTACGTACTGGGCCACACCATCTTCACACTTGTCAAGCTGAGATTCAAGATGACCCTTCATGTTTTAGCCCCATCAAAGTCCAAACCACTCCTTATTTTACAGCGCCTGTTATTTAGTCTCTTTTTCATTTTAAGTTTTTATTGCTAGGCTTTTGTCCTTAGAATTTTGAATTTATTGTTTAGTTTCGTTAAATTGTACTCATTGTTAAGCTAAGCAAATAGAAAACAAACCCACGTTCCAGAGGTCGTTTGGTAATGCTGAATGGGTTGAATCTATTGAAATTGTAAAATTATAGACGAAACGATTGAATTAGCTGAGTATAATGAATTATGAAAAATTATATTATTAATAAATAAAGGTTTATTAATGAAAAAGCTCAAGCAGTTCTCTTTAGAAGTTTAGTCAATTCCGTCAAAAAACAACTCGATTCTATTCTTATTTATTCTTATCCACCAATTGTTGGTGGTATTCTTCGGCAGAAAAGGCTACATAAACCTAAACCTTAATACAAATAATGAATTCAAGGTCCATATATAAATACAGCAGGCTTGGGCTTCATAACCTGGGGATCATAATTTGGGTTTTTCATTGATAAATTTAGTGCTTTATTTGAATATATATATGTATATATATATATATATATATATATATATATATATATATATATATATATATATATATATATATATATATATATATAAATGAAGCAGGCTTGGGCTTCATAACATGGGGGTTTCTCTGATAAATTTAGGGCTGCAAGAAACATTATTATGTATAGACTGATGATTGATTAGCACAGTCAAAACACTGGGCTAGCTCTTTTAGTTGGATAACATCTCTCGCAGATATCGTTGGATATAATAGTCCTATTTGGGGTTTATGTACTGGACTGAAAAAGATTTCGATAGTGCCAATGAAAGTGCAAACATTGGAGACATTGGTTTTCAACTGGCTTCTCATTCTCTTGTTTTAGTGCAAATTCAATGTCTGATTTTTAGTTGTGGACTTGGTCTTCACCTTTTATTCACATCATTCCTGCCGGTTTGGTTTTCCAATTTAACACTACTTGCTTTCGTGCCACCTCTATTATATGTATAAAGTTATAAGTGTGTAACCATGTTTATATAATGGAATATAATGGAAAATTCTTAGTAGTGTACGTGAGTTGTACACAAATTGTGCATAAAACCCTCTAGTTGCCTGTGTACACATGTAATTCATTTAGAAAAGAGCAGGATTTCATACCAAAACCTCCCTAATTGCCTGTGTACATCTTGTGTACACCAAGCATGACCGTTATATAATATACTACATACTAGTTTTTCAACGCGTGTTGCGCGTGTTGGATAGTGCCCAATACCATTGAAAATATAATTTTGAATCCAACAAGATCATTCACTCTTCCATACGATATGGTATGCATCCTAGAACGACAACGATTGTGGTCCACTTTTCTAATATCTGATTTGCTAAATAGCTTGGGAGAAAACATAGGAGAAATTGTGGTCCAAGAAAAGTGAAAAAGTTCTACAAAAAAACGTAAAAATGTGGTAAGTTTTTTAATAAATAAGGATGTTTTTATTGGGACTAATTGTAGTCCCAAACCAGAGCAAAATAGACATGATCAAATTTAATTAGAGCAATCCAGACTTAAACCTTGAAGAGAGAAGTAAAAAACTCAATCCACTTTCACCCAGAATTCGTATGTATGAATTCTATATTGGTGTTCTTGTGACTACTATACAACAAACTTATATAGTGGAGCAGGAGTCATACATCGTATAAAAATTGACCTGATCCACTTTGCTAATTAGTTCGGGATTTTTTTTTGATAAATAAGGATGTTTTATTGGGACTGATTGCAGTCCCAAACCAGACCAAAATAGACTAGATCAAATTTAATTAGATCAATTTAAACTTAAATAGATCAAACCAGACCAGATCAGATCGAGCTTCGATAGTTATATATTATAAAATACACAAAGGTCAAACATCACTAGACCAGACCAGAGTACAAGATCAGAATTAAACAGACCCAATCATACCAGATCAAACCATATCAGGCCAGAAAATTACGATCATATTAAAAACATCCTAATAGCCTAAAAAATTATCCAAGTTTTATGGGTAGTTTAAAAGCCATTATCAATCAGAAATATTAATATATACTAAGAGAATATATGTGTAGTAGGCATAAGTTCTGAAAAGCTTCTAGTTGTATATTTGGCAGGGTAATTTTTAAGATTTATATCAGAATAGAAGATCTTTTTTTGAAAGGATGCACTGAGTAACATTTGAGAAAAGTTTGTAGCTTTTAACATTAATTAGTCAGAACGTACAACTTGTAACCTAAACATAATTAAATCAAACAGTCAACTTTTTATCGAATAGCTAATAATCTTTTCTTTTCAAACCTTTCCAGTTATTAAAAGCTAACGATTACTTCAATACTAAAAAAACTTAAAACGTACTCCAGCATGAGTTACACGGCTTTTATTTTGGCTAGTTATGTCAAACATCATGAGTGCTTATAATATTTTATTAAGACTGCGGTATGAGTTACAGGGCTTTTATTAAATTTCGGATGGATGAAGAACAAGATCTTTTATAAATTGGATTAGTGGTTTGAGTGGTTATTTTGGGCAATTGGGCGCTTGCATTTTATGCCTCACGATGTGGTTGAGTAGATCAACCTTCTTTATCCTTCAACTTTTTATGTTTTCTTTCTGGGAAAATTACCGATATAAAAATGTTTGAGAATTTCAAAATAGGATTACCATGTTTTTACTGAGTATTACCTAATTAAAAGTAATTGCTGCTAAGATTGGAAAATGATGTTATGTTACGTTCAAAATCGTGCATTGCCAAACGTGGAAATATCATAATTAGGGAATAAAAACATGATCGTCTTACTTTGAAATATACAAATGTTTTAGTGCTATTTAAGGTAATTTTCTTTTCTTTCCGCGCAAGTGTTTTATGAATTCTTAAATGTTCTTGCATTCCTTCATAATCTTATAAAATCCACACCACACTTGTTTTCAATACTAGCGCCGTCTTATAAATTGCCAATCAATTACGTCCCCTCAACTAATCAACTTAATACAACAAATAAATAGATTTCCTTTCCCAAATAATTTTTTTACATTACACTTTGTCATATGTTACACCATCTTACATCTTTTTATGTCTATGATATTTGATAAGATGATAACTTGATGTGGTTATAATTCATTTATACTTAAATATAATAGCAATTGAATAATTCTAGTTTGTACTTTATATGGGAATTTATCATGTTTAAAAGGTACTCTGTATATTACAATAAGGGATGTGTCTCGTGTTAGAATCCTGATAACTTTCATGAGATGTTATTATGTAAAAATGCATACGACCTATGCAAGTACTTGAGCTAACACCAACTCACTTTCTTCTAGTTTGTGATTAAAGTTTAATTTACATCATCTGAGTTAATTGTACAATCGATTTTAAAGAGCCCTCAAGAATCGGGTGTTATAAAAAAGAATGGCGCATTATCAATTTTTTTACAAAATGGTATGAAAGCTTCACTCGAACATACTCCATCCGGTCCTAAATAAACTTCACACTTTGACTTCACACAAATTAAGGAAATAAATTTGACTTTACTGTAGAGGACATTGTTGTGACACTGTTTGACACTGTTTGTCACTGTTTTGATGTAAATAATTTGCCAAATAAGGAAGGGAGAAGAAGTGTGAAGTTTATTTTGGACCTACCCAAAAAGGAAAGTGTGAAGTTTATTTAGGACTGAATGGAGTAATAATTAAAGCAGATGTGAAAAGAGAAATGTTCATGACAACACTTTACACGTCGGTTAAATTGTCTGTGCAAAATTTTCTTTTCATTTCATGGAAGAGAATCTATTTTTGCATAGACATAAAAATTGTTTTTGTCAAATACAAATGAAGTTGTTGGTGCAAAAAATGACTCCCTTCACAAAATGAAAAATTGTCTATGTACAATGCTCTGTGTAGAGGAAGCATGGTTGATGTGAAAATGCTTGGGGAGTGCACATCAACTACATAAAAAATGAAAAGGAGACATGTAGCTAGTCAAAAAGTGAAATCAGATTTCATGTTTTCTACTCCCTCCGGATCTTTTTAAACTTCACACTTTGACTTCACATTGATTAAGAAAATAAATTTGACTTTACTGTAAAGTACACTGTTGAGACACTATTTGTCACTGTTGAGACACTGTTTGACACTGTTGAGACACCATTTGACACTGTTTAACACTGTTTTGATGTAGATTTCTTTGCCAAATAAGGAAATAAGGAAGTGTGAAATTTATTTTGGACCGTCCAAAAAAGGAAAATGTGAAGTTTATTTAGAACCGGAGGGAGTATACATATCTTTTAACTACGTAGTACGGAGTAATTAATAACTAGGCTGTTATTCATTGAATGGTTTTTGGAAGTCAGTGCTCCACCTCGGGTCAATGTATTATTCCAGAGTGAGATTTTAGCCCTGTCCATACTATTAATAATTTATCTACAAATTATATTATTCATTTATACCTACAAATAAACCATCTCAAATTTTTATATGTTAGTCTTAGAGAGCGTTTGCAGGAAATTTAAAAACTCTTTTTCAGCTTTTTGCTAAAAAAAGTTGAAATGAGTGTTTTCATATGACACCTTCTACTTAAATTATTAAACACCTAAACTTTAAAAGTTGGAAGCAAGTTGAGATGTGCTTTAAATTGCTTTTCACTTTTTCTATTACATAAAAATCACTTATTTTATCAAACACTATCCACTTTTACTTTTTCAAAAACACTTTTTCTCAAACATTACTAACTTTTACTATTAAACACTTTTTCTAAAATTACATCAAAAAATAACTTTTTAAAGTAGAACCAATCGGAAGAATGACATCCGACCCCAAGGGAAACCCTAGGGAGCCATCTCCCACCTCTTGTGAGATCTGACTTTTGAGTCTTCTCTTCTCCAAACATCAAGAGTTTTGGAAGATGGTGAAGTTCTCTTCTATGCTTCCAGTCTTGTTTAATTTCTAATTTCTAGGGTTTTGATCTGACGTCTAGATTGGTCGAGAGTTTTGTCCGCTTCATGTGAGCGTGTGGTATATTTTTCTCCTAGCAATATGTGGATTTCTCATCGGAGCAATAGATCTGGTGAGTTTTTGTAGTTCATGGTTGGAAAAGCTTTTTCAACTTTGTTGTTTTGAGACTTCAGTTATTCGCCCTCCACATGAACCACTGCCTCCCTCCGAGAAAGCGCTAAACTGGATCTCCTTTTCGGTGGCTGGTCAAACCGATGATTCAGACTATTTCGACTAGATAGAGTTTCCTTTGTTGGTTGCTGATCAAACCAATTCTCCCTTTCCGATGGCCGGTGAAGCCATATTTTTAAATTTTTATTTTTTATTTTTTATTTTTTATTTGGAGTAGCAAGTGCAGCAATGCTGTTAGGCTAGACTACATTATTGTGGGGTTACAGATCTGGAAGAATTCATGTGATCATTTTCGTTCAAAGTCTCATCCCATTGTAGCCTTAAGATATTCATTTACTTGTTTCTGTGCTAATGTTTGATATGAATAAATTTGTTATTTGATTTAAAAAAAAAGTAGAACCAATCAGATTAAGAGATCACCATGCCATAAAAAAACCTAGCGACTGTCTCCCCTCTTTATAGGGGTTGAGATTTTACGCCGTCCCTTTCAATATGGGGTTGGAGTGACAGATTAACTGATTTTAAGTGTTCTAACGCTAGGATTTGCAGCTATTTTGGAAGAGATAACATTGACGGATGAACGGGTTGTGGCTAGGAGTTTGTGTCGAGTAGGTTTGGTTTGAGTGTTTGGATTATTGGAGTTCTTTTGATAGGCATGAATTCAGTTCCCATCGTTTTAAGCTTAAAATTGTTCCTTTCAGGTTAGTGGGTCATATTGTTTTCTAAGAGGTGGATGAGTCTATGTCTATTCCTAGGGTTCACGATTGGATCTGTAAAATCTATCTAAAGTTTGTCTTGTATGCGTTCTCGGTTTTAATATAATGATACACTCTTTTATGATAAAAAAGTAGTACCAATCGCAAACTCTCCCATAGACCAATAGACCTTAAATGTACATAATCCAAAATTAATTTGAACAACAATTAATATACAATGTCCGTTATTTGGGTTTTCCACATTTTTCATTCTTAAAGTCGTTTCCTTATTTCAATGGACCTGATAGACTATACGTCTAGAGACAAATGAGAGCTAGAGAGAGAAGTTGTAACACCGTCCCCAAGTATATTTACTTTTAGTAAATCATGTAATAAACCTTGAATAATGATTCGTGAATTTACGAAGTTGTAAATTTTTGTTATTACGTTCGCGTGAATAGTGAATTGCACGTGAGGGCCACATCGGGAGCGGGGACCACCCGATAAACTCGGGACCACATAATATATTCATCTTGGTCTAGATAATATGTATATGGTGGTAGATATTTTAGTTGGGCCATAGGAAGGGCATAGGGTTGACCCGTCGGTCAAACGAGGCCCAATTACCGGTATCGGTAATTTATCACATAACAGCCCGGAACGGATTTCGGGGACGTCTAAATTAAATTTGGGGAATGAATACTCATTCCAAAAGTCCACAATGATGGGAAACACAAAATATATTTTATTTGACCTGATAAAATAAAATATAATTTAAACAGTCCAAAAAATACAACTTTCGGGGCCGATTGCATAATTCTGGACATCAAGGGATGACCTCCCACATGAGTGGGGGTCACCCCACGTTTTTTTGTGCCCAATTAGACTTGATGGGAGCTGGTTGACAAATAAATGGGTGGAGGAGATGCATTTGGCATCAAAGTACCAAAGGGACCCTCACCCTCTCTTATTGCTCAATTGAGACAAAAGGGGGCATCATCTCTCACTCCTACCTCCCTAGCTCGACCAAGACCACAAGGAAAGAGGAAGAAGCTCTCAACCAAGCCTCCATAGCTCGAAAATCCGAGCTCAACAATAAAGGTCCAAGGAGGAGGCTTAAAGAAGGAAAAGGTTAGGGAAAGTGTAAAGGATTAAGGTGATAACCTTATAATAATTTTTCCTTTCCTTTTTATCTATCATATGAATTTTATACCATATGAAGGACCCCTAGGATTATTCTACATGTTTAGAAGTGTAGAATGAGGGGTTGGAAGGTAGTTCTAAGTCCAAGAACGGACTTAGAAGCCAAAACGACCGGTTCGCCGGAAAATAACCTTTTAGAGGTTATTTGTATTGATATGAGTTTTGTGATGATAAAAACATGTTAGGAGCTTAACTAAGGTGTTTCTAGAGTTTGCCTGAGTTCTCCGGAGTTTCGCCGGAGTTCAACCGAAGAGCGTAGAACACGCTATAACTCATTTAAGGTGAGTGGACGGCTTAATATCTTATAACTTTTGGGTTAATTATGAGATTACCTAAATAAATGTTATATGTGTTCATAATTATGTTTAAAAGGTATTTAAACATGTGACTAGCCAACATGGTTAAGTTCGTATGAAAGGAATTAATTGTTTATGCATGAAATATGTTATGAAGAATTATATAAAATGCATGTTTGCTTGAAGCGTAAGAGGAGCACAAATGAACATTATTAACTTAATTATATGATGATTAAGTTGATACGTATAAGGTTTGAAATGACGGTCAATGAAAACGTTGACCGATGGATAATGGATTAATTGATACCGGATATGATGGTATTAGTTAATTATGAATTTATATAAACGCATGACTTTGCATGGATTGTGATACATAAGCTTTATGTATTGATTTAGCTATGAATGAATAAATATCATATAGATCCTATCTAGGTTGATAGGAGGTTGATCATAGGATTATAAATTGGTGGAGGACTCTAGGACTTAAAGTCCTTAACACTCATATTTTGGTGGAGGACCTTAGGACTTAAAAGTCCTTAACACTCATATTTTGGTGGAGGACCCTAGGACCTAAAAGTCCTTAACACTCATATTTTGGTGGAGGACCCTAGGACTTAAAAGTCCTTAACACTCATATTTTGGTGGAGGACCCTAAGACTTAAAGTCCTTAACACTCGGATTATAAATTGGTGGAGGACCCTAGGACTTAAAGTCCTTAACACTCGGATAATAAATTGGTGGAGGACCCTAGGACTAAAAGTCCTTAACACTCAAATACAAATTTGGTGGAGCACCCAAGGATTTTGATCCTCAAAACTCATAGATTATGATATTGAAGTATGGACAAGGAGGAGTCCTATACACTCATAGGCATATGGGTGGGTTGGGGTTTTTAGTCAAGGATACTGACTATTAATATTTTCCCAAATAAAACGGTGATCTACGGATCGGGTATTTTCCAAGTGTATATGTACTACTAAGTATTTCTTAACTTTGGGGAAAAGACTATTTACATAATTATCTCCCTATGTTTGGGTCTTATACTTGAAACGCTAGTTATTCTATATTTAGCCTGCTACTCGCTCGGTACTTGTACTGACCCCTTCAGGGCCCCCACCATTTCAGGTTGAAGTTAAGGCTCGTCATCTACACCTTTGCACGAGTGAAGAGAATCCAAGGAAGACGTGGTTCGTGCTCCCTCTACTATTTCAAAAAAATAAACTATGCTCATGGATACTTTTGTATTAATACATTGTTTTGGCCTGCGAGCCTACGTTTTGGCCATGTGTGGCCAACGATTAATTGTTGAATATTTCCGCTATTCAATTAATCTAAACTGTGATGTTGTTGTGTATGTTTACTACTGAGTATGGATATATTATGTTCATGGATGCCTTGTATGATTAAGACACGTTGACTTGCGAGTGACGTCACTTGGTCATACGGCGGTTGTACACGCGCCTAGATGTGGTCTGGGGCGTGACAATTAAGTGGTAACAGAGCCATCTCAGTTCTAAACTATGTAAGCAACCTCTCACGAGAGATTTTGCAAAAAGGAATTTTTACCGAAAACCATGAGCATTGTATTTTGACGTTCATAGAACTATTGTTACCTAGGTTGCAAGGTCTCTAATTGTTAAGATGGTACTCTTAACAATTGGTATGGCGGTGACTTGGGCCAATACGTGTCTATAACGTTCTTCCGTCAATTGACATTGATAGGAGTCTAACGACTTGTCCAAATCTTATTTCAGAAATGGAGGGTAGGCGAATGGCAACGAGGAACAATCCGAGGGGGCAGGCACCGGTAACATCCATGAGGGGTAGCCGGGCTGCATCTCGGGGGAAAAGAGGAGGCCGAGTAGGTCGTGGTGGCCACCGGGCCCAAACAGTGAGCGACGGCCACATAAGCTCGGTGTTTGAAACTAACACTGAGGACTATGACTCGACTTTTGTTCCCGGCACGGAGCATGAGGAGACCCCGTATGACGGGGGTGACTTCCACACTGACGAGGAAGACAACGATGAGAGTGATGCCCGATTCGCTCAAATGGGCGAATTGCTTGAGTGGTATCAAAAAGAGAAACTAAGGAGAGACCTTAGGCACCAAGCAAGACACGACTCTCGTGGTGGTTCGGTTCAAGGAAGCCGGGGAGCTTCAAGGGCCACTCCAGCGGCGTCACAAGGTGGGCGTGAAGGAGGGTTTTGTGTGAGAATCTCCAAGTACCTCAAGGAGGCTAGGGCCTTGGGGTGTAAATCCTTCGACGGCATTGGTGACATTACCGTTGCCGCCGATTGCCCACAATTGGGGGGAGGAGCTCCCGGGTCCGGAGGAGGAGCTTTGACGAGTAGAAACCGTGCAGGGCCGTCAAACGGAGGCACGGGAAGAGGCGGTGCATCAATGAGCCATGCCGCGTCCGTTAACCAAGGCGGGGCCCAAGCAAGGGTCTACGCGATGGCAGAGGCCGATGCTCGGGCCAACCCCGACTCCGTTGCAGGTAATCCCTTGCTAATGCTTGATAAAATACGTGTATTAATGTGTTAGAAGTGATAACAGGGTTGTACGGGCCGGCCGGTGACTTTGCCGGTCGGTTTCTAAGTAAAAGGAGCAAGAAAAAGGGGAAGGGGCTGCTCAGGGCCCAACCAGCGCCGTTCCCCGGCCAACCGGCGCCGGTCGTAGCGTCCAAAACGCTACTGGCACCCACGCACGCGTGCGTGCGAAGGGACGCACGCATGCGTCCCCCGTTTTTGGGCCAACCGGCGCCGTTCGTTGAGTTAAAACACTCCGTTACCCTACTGCCACCCATGCACGCGTGCGTGGGAAGGGACGCACGCGTGCGTACCCCATTTCCGACAAAAAACAAATCGGCCCAACCGGCGCTGGTTAGGCCCAGAACCGGCACCGGTCCAGTACAACTTAAAAAAAAAATTAGCTCATTTTTGATTCGGTACTTCGGGTAGGGTGTCTTACATCATTTGTAAATGTAGGAACACTCTTGATCAACGGAAGAAATGCAAGAATTCTCATTGATACCGGGGCGCAACGTTCTTTTGTGAGCGAAGCGTTTGCCGAAGGTCTTGACGTGCCATTGACGCCGATGACTCAGACCTCGTTAGTCTTCACACCGTTAGGAGATGATGTGGAGAGGGACCACTATTATGAATCGTGTGAGGTAGAAGTGACAGGTCAACCTTTGACTTGTGATTTCGTACCTTTAAGTATGTTGGAGTTTGATGCGATCCTAGGGATGGATTGGCTCGAAAAGCATCATGCTAGAGTTGATTGCTACACCAAGGTCTTAGAGCTTGAGGATGATGAGGGAAACACCATACGTTTCGAGGGAGATCGAGGGAGATCTCAAAGTTGTATCATATCCGTGATGAGAGCACGGAAGATGATGAAGAAAGGTTGCCATGCGTACCTTGCTTACGTGGTAGATGAGACCAAGAAGGAGGTCGACATCAACGATGTACGTGTTGTGTGTAAGTACCCGGACGTCTTCCCCAAAGACTTACCGGGGCTTCCACCCGATAGAGAGATCGAGTTCGTGATTGAAGTTGAGCCGGGAACTAAACCCATTTCGATTCCTCCTTATCGAATGGCACCGGCGGAACTTCAAGAGTTGAAAGTCCAATTACAGGAGTTATTGGATAATGGGTTCATTAGACATAGTCATTCACCGTGGGGAGCACCGGTACTCTTTGTGAAGAAGAAAGATGGTTCACTAAGAATGTGTATTGACTACCGACAATTGAACAAGGTCACAATCAAGAATAGGTATCCCTTACCGAGGATTGATGAATTGTTTGATCAACTTCGGGGGGCGATAGTGTTCTCAAAGATTGATCTGAGGTCGGGCTACCATCAATTGAAGATAAAGGAGAGTGACATACCGAAGAGTGCATTTCGCACTAGATATGGTCACTACGAATTCCTTGTGATGTCGTTTGGTTTAACCAATGCACCAGCGACATTCATGGATTTGATGAACCGTGTGTTTAGTGAGTACTTAGATCAATTTGTGGTTGTATTCATTGATGACATCTTGATATATTCGAAGAACGAAGAAGAGCATGAGCATCACCTGAGACTGGTGCTTGAAAGGCTAAGAGAAAAACAACTCTTTGCCAAGTTCTCTAAATGTGAATTTTGGCTTAAAGAGATTGGCTTTCTCGGTCATGTCATATCTGGATCAGGAGTTGCGGTGGACAATGCAAAGATAGAAGCCATTATGAATTGGGAACAACCTAAGAATGTGAAGGAGATACGTAGTTTCCTTGGCTTAGCGGGTTACTACCGTAAATTTGTTGAGAAATTCTCTGTGTTGGGGTCACCACTAACGAAGCTCACGAAGAAGGGGGCTAAGTTCGTATGGGACGACAAATGTGAGAAAGGGTTTCTTGAGCTAAAGAAACGACTTACCGAGGCACCAGTTCTTGCCCTACCAATACAAGGTATTGGGTATGATATTTATAGTGATGCTAGCATCCAAGAGCTTGGATGTGTACTAATGCAGAAGGGTAAGGTGATTGCCTATGCTTCTAGGCAATTGAGAAAACACGAGGTGAACTATCCTACCCACGACCTAGATTTGGGAGCGGTAGTGTTTGCACTAAAGATTTGGAGGCATTATCTCTACGGGGAGACATGTCACATCTACACCGATCATAAGAGCTTGAAGTATGTATTCACTTAGAAAGAGTTGAATATGAGGCAAAGGAGATGAATGGAGTTGATCAAGGACTATGACTTGATCATCGACTATCATCCCGGTAAGGCCAACGTTGTGGCCGATGCACTGAGCAGGAAGAGTACGTCAGGGATTTTACTCACATGCCTACAAGCATTATGGGAACACGTGGAGGTGTCCTCGATCGGGGCACTCATAGCGAGATTTGAGGTTAGTCCTACGTTGCTGAGTGAGATCAGTAGAGGTCAAGGCATTGTGAGGAATGTGAGAAGGTCCGCGAACGGATCCTTGCGGGACCCGTTGAGGATTTTCGGGTACGTGATGATGGCCTTTTATTGTTCAAGGATCGCGTATGCGTACCACATAATGAGGAGCTCCGGAAATCCATACTCGAGGAAGCCCATTCTTCAGCCTATGCTATGCATCCAGGAGGTACAAAGATGTACCGAGACCTGAAGGAAAGTTATTGGTGGTCTGGTATGAAGAGAGACATCGCGGAGTATGTGAGCCGACGATGCCTTACTTGTCAACAAGTTAAGGCGGAGCATCAGCACCCGACGGGACTTTTGCAGCCACTTACTATTCCAGAATGGAAGTGGGAACATGTCACCATGGACTTTGTGGTAGGGTTACCACGGACGGTGAACAATTACGATGCAGTGTGGGTGGTGGTTGATAGGCTTACCAAAAGTGCGCACTTCTTACCTATCAACATCACTTATCCTCTTGAACGTTTGGCCAAGTTATACACGGAGGAGATTGTGAGGTTACACGGAGTTCCAATATCCATCGTCTCGGATAGGGACCCAAGATTCACATCTAGGTTTTGGCCAAAGTTCCAAGCATCATTGGGGACTAAACTGAAGTTTAGCACAGCGTTTCACCCTCAAACGGATGGACAATCTGAATGGGTTATACAGATTTTGGAAGACATGCTTAGGGCGTGTGCCTTGGAGTTTCAGGGGTGTTGGGACAAATATTTGGCACTAGTGGAGTTTGCCTATAACAACAGTTATCAGGCGAGTATTGGCATGCCTCCATACGAGGCATTGTATGGGAGGAAATGCAGGACGCCGTTGTGTTGGGACGAGGTTGGCGAGGCCAAGCTCGAAGGTATAGAACTTGTCGATATCACCAAGGCTAAGGTGAAGGTTATTAGAGATAGACTTAAGGCTGCCCAAGATCGGCAGAAGAGCTATGCCGATAAACAACGTAGACCATTAGAATTTGCAGTTGGTGATGAGGTGTTTCTAAGGATTTCTCCTTGGAAAGGTATCATCCGATTCATATCGAGGGGTAAACTTAACCCCCGATACATTGGTCCGTTTGAAATCCTTGAAAGGATTGGGGCCATGGCTTACCGTCTCAAGTTATCACCTGAACTTGAGAAGATTCATGATGTTTTCCATGTATTGATGCTCAAGAAGTATGTAGGAGATCCGTCACATATTCTTGAGAGACCACCGGTAGAGATTCGAGAGGACCTACAATATGTAGTGGAACCGGTGAAGATAGTGGGGCAGCAGGTAAAGAGGCTTAGGAGCAAGGAGATTCCTATGGTTAAGGTGCTTTGGAGGAGTGATCGAGTCGAAGAAGAAACCTGGGAGACTGAGGTCTCAATGAGGAAGCAATACCCGTTTCTTTTCGATTAGACACGAGATTTCGGGGACGAAATCCCAAATAAGGGGGGGGGGGGGTGAACATGAAACACCGTCCCCAAGTATATTTACTTTTAGTAAATCATGTAATAAACCTTGAATAATGATTCGTGAATTTACGAGGTTGTAAATTTTTGTTATTACGTTCACGTGAATAGTGAATTGCACGTGGGGCCCACATCGGGAGCGGGGACCACCCGATAAACCCGGGACCACATATTAAATTCATCTTGGTCTAGATAATGTTGGAAAATAGTAGTATTTCAAATGAATAAAATGTTATGTTCTTTAATTATTTATCACACACTAATATATTAATAAATATTTATACATATTATACATAGTAAATTATAACTATAATGAAAATGGAGGAAGTTTTGAACGTTTCAAGCTAGGCTTGATCCTATTGTGATTATTAATTGAAATAAACATGCTTTAATGCACATTTTCCATTGAGCTCTAATAAAAAACCGTTACAAGCTATTGATTTTTTGATTAATATTTATTAATGAACCTTTTGTATTCTCCTTCATTTTAAAACCGTTGCAAGTTGATAACTTTAATTATTATTAAAGTTATATTTACTCCCTAACGTTTCATTCTTTTCATTGGATTTTTATGTATATATATACATGCTTGCATGGAGCTAGTTGTAGGGTGGAATGAGCTTTAGCTTCAAAATTCATTTGTTCTAGTTTTTAAAGATAAAGAAAATATTACTCTTCATATTTAGTAGCTAGCAAATAATATTTTCTGCCCTATTACTCTGCTGGATTAATATATTTATTCTACTCTCGTTGTTCTGTTACCGGCTTACGCCGAAGAGCTCGTTTTATCTTGGGGAAAGGTTTTCGCTAGTCGGAAATACTTTCTTGAGGACAGCGTTTACGCGACTCGAGCTATATTATTTCCTAACGCATTTTTTGCAGGTTTATCCGGCCAATTTCCTCCAACAATCTCAAGAAAGTATTTGGCGTCAGATATTCCTGCACACATGATCTTACAAGTTGTCACCGTCGCACTCATCGCGGCTATGTTATCTTTGCACGTGTGTTGTGATTTAGACTGGTATTTGGATATATTTCTACGTATAATGCGTACTCTTTTTTTTCCTACTTACAATAAACCATACTTTAACACCACTTTTTAAGAAAAATGTTATTCATTTATTTAGTGATAAAAAGACAACTATGGAAAACAACAACCCACTAAAATCAAGTTTAAACTTGGTTTGTAGTAATGATAATTTTATTGCGGTTGTTTCTCAAAGTTGTAAAAATAATGATGTGAATGAGTGGGCGGTAGACTCCGGGGCTACCAAGCATATTTGTAAAAACAAAAATGCTATTACCTCCTATACTACGGAGTATTATAGAAGATGGTGAAGAGCTCGTGTACCTAACGGACTCTAAAACCGTTAAGGTGCATGGAAAAGGAAAGTTTTCCTGAAGCTCACATCGGGGAAAACTTTATCACTAAATGATGTGCTTCATGTGCTCAACATTCGGACTAATTTAGTTTCCGTTTCTCTCTTGGAAAAATTTGGGGTTAAAGTTTCTTTTGATTGTGACAATTTTGTTATGACAAAAAAAATATGATGTTCTTGTGGGAAATGGCTATTGTAAGAATGGACTTTTTATCCTTAGTATTTTTGAAAGTCGCATGATGATGCTTCTGCGTATTAACGGTTGGTTAATTATTGTGTTATGTGATATAATAGATTTGATGTTTTACATGGCATTTTAAGTTGATCTTTATTTTTGTTTGTTATATGAAACTCCTAAATATCCTAAGAGTGGTACAGAAGCACCTCTAGAAAATTGTGATACAATTGATGAATTTATATAAATTTTATTAGAGCATCTACACTGTGGTTAGAGGTGGTAAAAGTTCATTGTCACATTTATTGGTGATTTTTCGAGATAAACTAAATTTTATCTTATTTAAATATAAAAGGAGAGTTTTTGATAAATTCAATGTGTACACATAAAGGTTGAGATATAAATTCTCTCTCTATGAATTCTAGAAGGGCTATGCACCTGTTTTTAAATATTTAAAATTGTGGGGGTGCTTAGCTATATTCTTATTCCTATCTCATTGAGTGAAAATGAGCTTTATAACTCTTGGCTATTTTTGCATAAATTGAAATAGTGGAGCATATATATTATTTTCATAAATGAAAGAAATAGTGTGCTAATGTGCAATGTTTTATGATATATTATTGAAGTTATTAATGTGACCGTTTTTGGAGAATGTGTACACACTAAATGATGCATGTGTGATTATTTTTTTATACGCCGATGAAACAAAAATGCTGATTTTTTTTTGAGAATGTGTTTCCTTTGAAAATTGAACACAAGACCATTCAACCCTCTAGTGATAGTAATCCATTAAAAGAAAATTAATCTTTTAATGATGAAATTTTTGAATTATTCACAAACTTTTTATTCATCAAATGGATATTAGAATTGCATTTTTAAATGGTGAACTAGAGGAAGAAGAAATTTATATGGTGCAACCGAAAGGTCATGTGGTTAGTGGTCAGGAAAACAAAGTGTGTATACACTAAATGTAAAAATGGTGTGTGCATTATAATTTGCTTGTATGTGGATGATATGTTAATTTTTAGTGTGGAAGACTTGGGGGTAACAAAAATGATTTTGGGTATATGTGAAAGTCACAAGGAAGGATATGATGTTATACTATCTCAAGAGCATTATGCTGATAGACTTCTAAAGAGCTTTGGACATTTTAATGTCACACCCGTGGGTATCCCTTATGAATTTCATATGCACTCAAAAAAAAAATGAGGTGATCGTGAGGCTCAATATGAGTATTCCCAAATTATTGGATGTTTATTATATTTTATAAATTTTACTAGGTCCGACATAGTTTGTGTTGTCGGAAGATTGAGCCGATATACTCATGACCCAAGTAGGGATCATTGAATTGCGTTAAGGCGATTATTGATATATTTGAGAGGTACCATTATTTATGGTATTTTTTATTGAGATTATCCGTTGTAATATATTGATACAACGATGATATGTTTTATTGAGAAATATCCATTGTTCTAGAGCGGTACAATGATGTTATATGAAAATTATCCATTGTACTATAATGATACAATGATGGTATATATTTTATTGAGAATTATCCGATGTACTAGAGGGTCACATCGATGTTATATTTTATTGAGAATTATCCTTTGTATTGCCGGGATACAACGACGACATCTGAGTATACTCACATCAGATAAATTAAAATAGTGGATATCTATTCACCCTTAAAAGGGGTGCAATGATGTTTGAGAATGAAATTATTTCCATTAATTTTATGAAGTCAGAAGGAATTAGCTACTCCTTTGACAGAATCCCTAGGACGAAAAATGATAACCGAAACATCGAAGGAAATGGGACTAGTGTCACTTTGAAACGAATGGGGATGGGAACCCAACTTGTGTGATTGGAGATCCCATGAAGCAAGTTCAAATGGGTAATAACAAGTCTTCCATTTAGTTCTGCTAGCCTAACTAAAATTCTCCATTTCCATGATGTGAGATATATGCTAGAAACCGCATTCTTTGAGAGGGTGAGCTAAAAGCTCTTAATGATTATCATAACCCTTAATTTTAGGGTGGTGTGCAAAAGCGGTACACACTTGATGATGTCACCTATATGAGTGTGAGGTGGGGCCGCCTCCATGAAGCATGACAAAACTTCTAGAGCACTCATAAACACCAAGCACGCGCATGGCCTTACGGCGCACAACGGCGTAATAACGAGAAATTGTGCGGGATGCGACACGACCGTTAAGACCCTGATTTACCAATAGTAGCTTGTTGGTTCAAGAAACTATACGTTTCACCAAAAGCTCGGTTTATTAAGACTTAATCGTCTCGGTTTGGTTCATAGTCTACGGACACCAAACTTAAAGTCTCATTCCTTTAATCCAGCAGAAATTTTCTAAACTATTTTCCAAAATGTAAAATTATTCATTTGAAATATGTGGGGGATTGTTGGAAAATAGTAGTATTTCAAATGAATAAAATGTTATGTTCTTTAATTATTTATCACACACTAATATATTAATAAATATTTATACATATTATACATAGTAAATTATAACTATAATGAAAATGGAGGAAGTTTTGAACGTTTCAAGCTAGGCTTGATCCTATTGTGATTATTAATTGAAATAAACATGCTTTAATGCACATTTTCCATTGAGCTCTAATAAAAAACCGTTACAAGCTATTGATTTTTTGATTAATATTTATTAATAAACCTTTTGTATTCTCCTTCATTTTAAAACCGTTGCAAGTTGATAACTTTAATTATTATTAAAGTTATATTTACTCCCTAACGTTTCATTCTTTTCATTAGATTTTTATGTATATATATATACATGCTTGCATGGAGCTAGTTGTAGGGTGGAATGAGCTTTAGCTTCAAAATTCATTTGTTCTAGTTTTTAAAGATAAAGAAAATATTACTCTTCATATTTAGTAGCTAGCAAATAATATTTTCTGCCCTATTACTCTGCTGGATTAATATATTTATTCTACTCTCGTTGTTCTGTTACCGGCTTACGCCGAAGAGCTCGTTTTATCTTAGGGAAAGGTTTTCGCTAGTCGGAAATACTTTCTTGAGGACAGCGTTTACGCGACTCGAGCTATATTATTTTCTAACGCATTTTTTGCAGGTTTATCCGGCCAATTTCCTCCAACAGATAATATGTATATGGTGGTAGATATTTTAGTTGGGCCATAGGAAGGGCATAGGGTTGACCCGCCAGTCAAACGAGGCCCAATTACCGGTATAGGTAATTTATCACATAACAGCCCGGAACGGATTTCGGGGACGTCTAAATTAAAGTTGGGGAATGAATACTCATTCCAAAAGTCCATAATGATGGGAAACACAAAATATATTTTATTTGACCCGATAAAATAAAATATAATTTAAACAGTCCGAAAAATACAATTTTCGAAGTCGATTGCACAGTTCTGGACATCAAGGGATGACCTCCCACATGAGTGGGGGCCACCCCACGTTTTTTTGTGCCCAATTAGACTTTATGGGAGCTGGTTGACAAATAAATGGGTGGAGGAGATGCATTTGGCATCAAAGTACCAAAGGGACCCCTCACCCTCTCTTATTGCTCAATTGAGACAAAAGGGGGCATCATCTCTCACCCCTACCTCCCTAGCTCGACCAAGACCACAAAGAAAGAGGAAGAAGCTCTCAACCAAGCCTCCATAGCTGGATAATCCGAGCTCAACAATAAAGGTCCAAGGAGGAGGCTTAAAGAAGGAAAAAGTTAGGGAAAGTGTAAAGGATTAAGGTGATAACCTTATAATAACTTTTCCTTTCCTTTTTATCTATCATATGAATTTTATACCATATGAAGGACCCCTAGGATTATTCTACATGTTTAGAAGTGTAGAATGAGGGGTTGGAAGGTGGTTCTAAGTCCAAGAACGGACTTAGAAGCCAAAACGACCGGTTTGCCGGAAAATAACCTTTTAGAAGTTATTTGTATTGATATGAGTTTTGTGATGATAAAAACATGTTAGGAGCTTAACTAAGGTGTTTCTAGAGTTTGCCGGAGTTCGCCGGAGTTTCACCGGTGTTTCGCCGGAGTTCAACCGAAGAGCGTAGAACACGCTATAACTCATTTAAGGTGAGTGGACGACTTAATATCTTATAACTTTTGGGTTAATTATGAGATTACCTAAATAAATGTTATATGTGTTCATAATTATGTTTAAAAGGTATTTAAACATGCGACTAGCCAACATGGTTAAGTTGGTATGAAACGAATTAATTGTTTATGCATGAAATATGTTATGAGGAATTATATAAAATGCATGTTTGCTTGAAGCGTAAGAGGAGCACAAATGAACATTATTAACTTAATTATATGATGATTAAGTTGATACGTATAAGGTTTGAAATGGCGGTCAACGAAAACGTTGACCGATGGATAATGGATTAATTGATACCGGATATGATGGTATTAGTTAATTATGAATTTATATAAACACATGACTTTGCATGGATTGTGATACATAAGCTTTATGTATTGATTTAGCTATGAATGAATAAATATTATATAGATCCTATCTAAGTTGATAGGAGGTTGATCATAGGATTATAAATTGGTGGAGGACCCTAGGACTTAAAGTCCTTAACACTTATATTTTGGTGGAGGACCCTAGGACTTAAAAGTCCTTAACACTCATATTTTGGTGGAGGACCCTAAGAGCTAAAAGTCTTTAACACTCATATTTTGGTGGAGGACCCTAGCACTTAAAAGTCCTTAACACTCATATTTTGGTGGAGGACCCTAGGACGACTTAAAGTCCTTAACACTCAGATT